CCTTTCAAAATTTTAAAATTTTTCGTCTGCGGCGCTTAAAATAAAATTTTACTTGAAAAATATTCAATTTTATTTAAAAAAAAGCGTCGCCAAAAATTTGGCTTCGAAAATGATTGACCCCCCCCCCCCCCTTCCCCGAAAATTTTCCTTGCTACGGGCCTGGCTTATGGGACACAATTGTTGTAAATAAACCAATAACTAAATCATTTATAAGTCATAGTCGACTAATAACGTATTTGAGGTCGAATAATTTCGAAATAAATGCAGTTTTGAAAATTTTTTGAATATTAAAATGTTTCGTTTTGTTTCGTTTCGTTTCGTAAGATTTTGGTTGTTTCGTTTCGTTTCGTTAACGAAACGATTTTTAAAAAATTTTGTTTCGTTTCGTTTCGTCAGAAAAAAATTTTGAGTTTCGCCCAGGTCTGATTGGGATGATGAACATATTGGTTTAAGTTGTGAAGAAATGGATAAAAAAGATAAAAGAGACAAAAAGGAAAGAGAAATGTGGGTTTTTTAAAGAATGGTCCTTGTCCGCAAAATATTTGCGGATAATCCGCAAATATTTGCGGACAAAAGTTGCGGACATTTTAAAATTGAATTTTAAGTGAGAAGAAATTAAATGAAGCTATCGTTCGAAAATGTCCAAAATGTGGAATTGCTTTCATTAAAAGGGATGGATGTAACAAGATGACCTGCCGATGTGGCATGACACAATGCTATATTTGTAGAGCAACAGACATTCAATACGAACATTTTTGCCAGTAAATTGTTAAAGTTAAAAAATATTTTTTCCTTTTAAAGACATTTTCGTGATCCAAATAACCCAAATTGTAATCGTTGTAACAAGAAATGTTTTCTTCACGAAGATGCAAACAAAAAGGATGAACAATTAATTAAGGAAATTCGTGAGAGTGAAGAGGCGGAGGATTAAACTTGTAAATAATAGGGCTATGCTCTAATTTGTTGTATAAATTGACAAAAATTGTCCTAACAATTCTATAACCTTTTTAAATGTTTTTTTTTAATTTCTGTAAATAAAGACAATCATTATTAAAATATTTTAGTATTAGATAATGAAATATTTTTGAGTCTTGCGACAAAAAATATCATCGGGCATGAGTTAAATGTTATTTTTGGTTGTGAGAAACAACAAGTCATAAACCGGAAAAAATTTCAGCGAAAGCTTTCAGAAACAAGGGAAGATAAAACTTAATTTGCAAGTTACGAAGGTTTATACCCTCCCAAATTTAAATTAACCAGAATGTAGCAATTTTGGCCTGATTTGACTAAATCTCAAAACCCTCATCTTTTCACTTTTTGTTCAAATATCCAATAAAAAACACGAACAAAAATATATACGCAAAAGAAAAGAAGATATATATTCATGAATTCAATTTAAATTTTTGAATATTTTTATTGAGAAGCGCATCTAACAGCCTGTGCCCCACCACCACCTCCACCATTACGCATTTCCTGTCTTTCTTGTGCCTGCAAAATTTCACGCAAATTGATGCCTACCGGAACCAAATTAATTTCTTCTGTCACATTTGTTATCATAGGCTCTTCTGGAATTTCATCTCCATCAGGCAACAATTTCCGAAGCTGTTCAACACTTTTAAATGGCAAACGATCAGGAAAGTCGACTTCAAATTGAATTAGTAAATCGCCTTTTTGATCGTGACGAAAAACTGGCATTCCTTCTCCATGCACAACACGCAAATCGTGATGATGAATTACTTCACCTGAATAAAAAATTTTTTTTAGGATTTATTTATATTATAATGAGAAGGTTTCTAATTCCTTTTTGGGTCAAAAAAGACGATAAAAAAGTTAAAAAAAAGAACCTGGCAATTGAGTGAACACCAATAACCGTTTGTCAAGTGTTTCAATACGCCGAGTAAACCCGCAAAGAGCTTCAGTCAAAGTAATTTTCATATTCAAAACCAAATTAGATCCTTTCCTAGTGAAGGTAGGATGCTTAAAAAAGAAATTAAAATTTATATTATTTTTTACAAGTTTACCGATTCCTCATCCAAGACGATAATGACGTTACCAGGCTGAAATTTTAGGTTTAAAATAAAATTTAATTTATACAACCTCAAGTCCAATCTGTTGGTCTCCTTTTTCATTAAACACCAACTTCTGGCCGTCTCGCATACCCTTCTCAATATGAACTTCAATAGTCTCATCAGAACGAATCTAAAAATTAAAAAAGATCATAAAAACTTAAATTTAAAATTACCCTCTTTTTTCCTTTGCAATTTTTACAAGGGTCCTTATTAACTTCACCCTCTCCTCCACACTGTGAGCAGTTACGCTGAATCCGTTGAATCATTCCAGGTCCAATTTGTTGATTAAAAACTTCAACTCCTCGGCCTCCACAAGTTTGGCATTTACTAACTGCTCCCTTTGCACCACCCACACCTTCACATTTTGGACAGATAATATGTCTAAAAAATAAATAAAATAATTTAGAATTGAATAAAAACCTATTAATTTTTAAATGCTTGGTACAACCATTATAAAGCTTTTCCAAATTGACTTTCAACTCATGGACAGTATCTCGAGCCTTTGTCGGTTTTTCACTTCGAAAGCCTGAATAAATAATTATAAACACGAAGCCCCTCAATGAAAGAAAAAGCTTTTGGGCTATCAAGTATGAAGCAGAAGAGTAAAGTATCTTAATAAATTTTTCAAACCTCCACCACCAAAGAACATCTCAAAAATGTCCATGGGATTGTGCATACCACCACCATCTCCACCTCCTTTAATTCCATCTTCTCCATACTCGTCATAAACTTGACGCTTCTTTGGGTCACTGAGCACTTCATAGGCCTAAAATTAAAAATAATAAACGCCAGGATTGTGAACAAACCTGTGAAATAAGCTTGAAGCGTTCGCCTTCATCGGGATTTTTGTCAGGGTGATATTTAAGACTGAAATGTTTGATTATAAATTCAAAAAAAATAAAATGCCAGATTTCTGTCCTTAATTTGTGTTTACATTTTATTTTATTTAAAAATAGTGAACGAAGACACATTTCAGAACTTTTAAAAGTTTGGTTTCGATGGGTTTCAATTCAAAGAATTTCGAGAAAATCCACAAAAAAACAAACAAACTTTAGGAAATTTTTGAAAAAAAGCCCTAATAACCCTATTTTCCCTCGTAATTTAAAAAATAAAGACTTACGCCAATTTCCGGTAAGCTTTCTTCAATTCATGTTCAGTTGCACCAGGCTTAACTTCAAGAATGTCGTAATACTTTGTATCTTTAACCATTTTATACAGATCAAAAATATAATTTTATAACCAAAAAGATCTTTGATTTGAAAGATTGATGACTATAAAAACTAAAAAAAACGAGAAAAAATTTAAAAGAAAAATAATTTGAATGTTGTGACTTATAGTGGGTTTTTTTTGGCTGGACCGATTTCGACAAATGAGGTGTCATTCGAAAGAGCTTCGAAAACTGAGTCGAACTAGATATGGGGGAAGTCGGTCCGACAATCAGGGGCCGAGTTACAGACCCCTGAAGTTTGAAAAAGAGAAGGGGGGAGTAAGCTCATTTTGCGGTGAAAAATTCGAAAATGCAAATAATAGCTCATTCGACTCAGCTCGACGAGCTGAGTCGAATGACACCAAAATCAGCTCGATATCTTGATTCTGAGCCCCTTCTCTTTTTCAAACTTCAGGGGTCTGTAACTCGGCCCCTGATTGTCGGACCGACTTCCCCCATATCTAGTTCGACTCAGTTTTCGAAGCTCTTTCGAATGACACCTCATTTGTCGAAATCGGTCCAGCCAAAAAAAAACCCACTATAAGTCACAATACCCAATAATTTAATTTACGAAGAAAAAAAAACTTGTTGGGCAACACAAAAAGAAAAATTAAGAAAGTACTGAAATAAAAGAAAAAATTCAAGAAAATACAAACGATTTTGTATTTTGTGTCTAGAGAACATTCAGGAAGGAAAGAAATTTGTAAAATTAAATTGGTAAAATTAAAAAGGGTAAGTAGAAGAAAAGTTGACATTTAGGTCAATAAGAAATTTAAGCTTTTCAAAGTGTCAACTTTAAAAAAGTGGAAATATTTCAAAATACCAACTTTACAAAAAGCACACGAAATATCTAAAAATATTTTTGCAAAATTTATAAGTGCATTATTGTTCTTTCTTCATGCTTGAAGAGTTATTTATAGTACTTGATATACAGGGTGTTTCAACTAAGAAATACTATTTGAAAAATTAATAACTTTTTTCTGCATTGACAGATTTTAAAGAAATTTGGTATTTTTTATCTTCATTTTATAGCATTTTTTTTGAAACAAAAATTTTGTCTAAATTCGAACCCTAACCTGAGATAATTCCGTACTCTACAGTTCTGTTTTTCTCTTTTTCCCCACATGCATTCTTACTTCCCTTTATTTGTTGCAAGGGGAGACAGACACTAGAGTAAACACTAGGCGATTGACACTACATTTTTAATACAGTATCCACTCTTCGTCATACGCAGCAAAATAAATGAAGTAAGATAGCACACAATAAAAAGAGGGAAAAAAGAGAACGGTAGAGTACGAAATTGAAACGAAATTGAAATACAGGGTTAGGGTTCGAATTTAGACATAATTTTTATGTCAAAAAAATGCCATTAAATATAGATAAAAAATACCAAATTTCTTTAAAATCTGTCAATTCAGAAAAAAGTTATGAATTTTTCAAATAGTATTTCTTAGTTGAAACACCCTGTATATTTTAGTCTTTCTCTCCCTATGGACGTTAATGCCCGGTGTAAAGTTATTAAATAATTGATGGGCTTGGTTTTCCAAAATCATTAAGTATTTAGTTTGTTTCTTATTTTCTGCAAAATTGTTCTCAAATAATCTTTTCTTGAGTCATAATAATTTATCGATCGCGGCTTAACGTTCTTTTTGTGTTTTCTTTTCTTTGAACTTTTAGGCTTTCCAACATCTGCCTTATTTTATTTTTACTCTTTTTTTGTTGCAATGAATGGACAGCCTGATATTATTCAAAATCAACAACCGCCAAATTATCATGCAATACACAAATCTGTGGTAATTAACTTTGTCTTTTTCCAAAATTCAAAATTTCTCTAGATTGATATGTTTCCTGATTTGGACTTGACAAAAGTTCTCTCAGATTTTGGGCATTTAGGTTCGGAGCAACTTGCAGACATTATTCTCAACACAGTTAAGAACATCCCCAAGAAACGGCGAGCATCGGTATTTTAGTTTGAATGTTGAGTGGAAGAATAACTTAATTTTTAGAAACGGAAAGCGTCGGATGTTGGGCTTGATGCTGAAGGTGGTCCTCCAAGTGTTGGGTCGGAACAGTTAGTTGTTGTTTTTGGCTGTTTACTTTAATATTTAATTTCAAGGTCTTTCACTTCGGAGAATTCTAATACAATTGGAAGGTTATTGATTGACAAAATGTTATGGGATATGTATCAAGTATTGGTGTCTGAATTGAACAAAAGCAAAGAATTATCTAAAGATGGAGTCAAGTTTAATTTTTTGAAGACTGCTCTGGTTCTTTTTTGATTTTTGACTTTAACTTATTTTAAATTCCAGGCTGATCGCTTCCCAACTATTAGGCTTGAGTTTATCAGCAAAATGCTTTCAATCTTCAATGGAGCTGTATTTCCTGTTGCAATTACCTGCTTCTTTCTTGAAAATAACTTTACCGACAAGCTGCGTCGATGTAAGATTTCTCTTTGTTTTTTTTAATTTTTTTCCCCTTTTCAGTTCTTCCTTCCAAGTTTATCACCGCAAATTTTTGGCTTACTGCGACTGCACCTTTACTTAAAAAACGGTGCAAGAAAACTTGCGTGAATGTTACTGATGATTTTGTTAAACAATTCAAATTGTATACTGATCTCTTGGCAGGTTACCGCGATGGGGAATATGGTGCTCTGTTAACTCCAGAATTAAAACTTTCCAATGTAGGCAACAATTTTTTAAACTTACTTTATTTTCTGTTTTAGCAATACGACCAAGTTGAATGGGTACGTCCACCAGAAGAAGAACGTATAGAATGTCTTGTTTGTTTTGACATGGTGCCGTTCAACCGTATCATTTTCTGCAACGTTCCAGCTACCTCAGCTCGCGATTTTCTAGCTTCTCAGTTGGCGGCTTTTGACGAACCCGGTCCTAGCAGAGTAATCTACGAGGAGCTCAAAGAAAACGAAAAAGGTTATATTATGTAATTTGCGAAATAACAGTGAAATTTCGGGACATTTCTTATCTGTACGGGTTTATGGTCTTTATTTGTTCTTCTAAAAACGAGTTTTTATCCCCAAGTACTGTTTGCGAGTTATTTTGCCGTCACAGTTTTTCTTAATCAGCATTTGCGGCCTTATTCACTTTTGTTCTTTCTTTTAGAAAAGTCTGAATCTCAAGTCCATGCTTTCTGTCGGACGTGTGTTCGTGGATCAGCTTCAGCTGCGGTTGGCGAAATTCCTATGGCCAAAGGTGGAGTTGGACTGCGTTGTATGGTGCCTGATTGCGAAAACCCAATTCTTTACTGTAAATATAATTTTTTTAAATAATTTTAATCTTTCTTTTTTTGCAGCTGAAATTCGTGTGCTTCTTTCAAAGGAAGTACAAAAGAAATTGGACGAAAGAATTGTTGAGGAGAATCTTGGAATGGCTTCTCTTACTAATTTGGAACGGTTTTTTAAAATTTTTTTAATTAAATTTTTGTTTTTTATAGTTGTAAGAAATGTAATTTTGCTATTGACATGGAAGTTGACAAGACTGTCAACAAAGTTTTTGATTGTATAGCTTGTGAGTATAAAATGTGTCGTCTTTGTGAACGTGATTGGGATGACGAACATTTTGGTTATAGCTGTGAGGAACTTGATGCAAAGAACAAAAAGGAGAAGCGTGACAGAGCACTGTTAGTTTAATTTTCTTAGATATTTTTATGAAGAAAAATTTTCATTTTATAGTGAAAAACAATTGAACGAAGCACTCATTCGCAAATGTCCAAGATGTGCTGTTCAATTTGTCAAAGAAGCTGGTTGTAATAAAATGACTTGTCGCTGTGGAATGACTCAATGTTATTTATGCAGAGAGTCGGGTATTGGTTATGATCATTTTTGCCAGTAAGTTTTGATTTTTATTAATGTTATTTTTACTGTTTTTAAAAAAGACATGTCCGTGATCCGAATAGACCGTGGAATGAAATCTGCAAAACTTGTAAGAAGAAGTGCCTTCTCCATGAAGATCCAAAAAAGAGAGACGAACAATTACTTAAAGAAATTCGTGAAAAAGGAGTTGTTGATTCACCAGTAGCTGCAACAAATACTGATAGTGTACAAATTGTTCGTGTACAACCTCCTCAGCAGCCACCTCCTGCTCTTCCGCCATTTGTTCCTCCACGTCTACCATGGCAAAATCAGCCGGTTGATCCACGTCTACCATTAGGAAATCAACAACGTGGTGGGACACCAGTTCCTCCTCCACCAGTTCATGAAAGGTGCCAAATTGCAAATTGAGAGTTAGCCAAACTTTTGTTGTTTTGAATAAAAAAAAATTAACAATTTGAGGACGATACGGGAAAAAATAATTTAAAAAAAATTGACTCTCACTATCCTTTAAAAAAACTTAATATATTTTTTTCTATTTATTTTGATGATTGTTTTTCATGTTGGGGAAATTTTTGAGATTAAATTATGTAAATTTCTGATTTGGATATAAACACATCTGTTTGCTAACTAGCAGTTTATTTTTTTAATTTTATAATTAATTGGATTAATATAATGGTTTGAGAATGGTTTAATTTATTTGAGCATTGATTTTAGTCTAAAAATATTGACAGTATTAATTTGTAGGCTGTTTAAAAGCCTAGCAAGGGAACCTTCCGGAACTTTGTGATAAAACTTTGTATTTTTTTGTTACCAATCTATAGAGCATCATCGATTTACTATAGAAATAACTTGAGCTCCATAACTTTTTAGTTTCTTATTCCTAGCTTAAAAAGGGTAAATGGTTGATGCTTTATCGATTGCTATCAAAAAAGTGCAAAGGTTTTAACACGATTAGGGAGGTTTTAAGAACTAAAAAGATTTTCTGTTTAATAATTTTCTCATTCTCAAACCATTATTTTCTTTTTTTCTAGGAATTTGGACTATATCCGAGCTCGAGTTGCTCAAATTCGAGAAAATCTTGAAGGAGGATACAACCAAAATTTAGAAAGATATCAACAGGAGAGGGATCAGGATTTTGAGAGAATTCGTCAAAGGGAGGAGTTTGTTCGAATTCGTCAAAATTATCTTGAAGAACTTCGTAATGGTGACTTTTTAAAATATTTTTACTCAATTTAAAATTCAATTTTTAGATAGAAATCGTTGGAATAATCAACAGCAGTGGAATAATAATAATCAACAGCATCGTTAGTTTTTTTTCTATTTTTATCAAGTTTAATTTTGATTTTAGAACCTATTCAGCCTGTTCAATTTGTGAATGGTGGGTTCCAGATGCCTCCGCAGCCGAACAATTTCGCTGCTAATCCTAATCGATTTGAGGTTTGTTCTATAATTTTCTTTTTGTAAATTGTTCTTTAGGCGGATGGTGCTTTTGTGCCTTTACAACAACCACGATTCCAGCAGCAACAGCAACAATATGTTCAACAAAACCCACTACAACCGCCGGCTTTTCAGCATCAGCAATTTCAAGTAAATGAAATTAATTGTTTTATTTATATATAGAATAATATTTTTTATTAATAAATGATTGGATGGAACATTATTTAGGAGGGGATGGTTTTGTTAATTTTGGAGATTTTCATGACGTGCTTATTTATTTAAAAAATTTTTTCAAAAAAATTTTTTTAAGCCTCAGGCTCAGCCTCAACAAAATCAACAGCAACCGCCTATCCATCAAATTCCACCGCCGCCAGCGCCAGCTGCTATTCCTCTTCCTCCATACCCACAACAGCTTCCACCGCCACCAGCGCAAGACATTCCACTTCCACCATATCCTCCACCACCACCACAACGGGATCAATTAGGTGACAATTTAATTGGTCCTCCTAATCTTGGTGGCAATAATAATAATGTAGAGAATGCCTTTCAGGGATTTAATAATAATTATAATGTTGTTGGTGCTCCTCAAAATAATCTTCTTGGTGCTCCAAATATGCCAATTCACATTGATTGAGAGAACAATACCAGTGCTATTTTTTAATCCAGGAATTTTTTTAAATTTATTTTCTTAACAAAAACGAAAATATTATCTCCATTGCTTTCATTTCTTAAAATCTTGTTTAATATCATAGTCTTTTTGCATTTATTACACACCTACTCTAAAATTCTTTGATTTTACTTAAAAAATATAAAATGCATTATCCAATTAAACAGTTTTAACATTTTTATTGGGCTTTGACAATGAATTGATGTCTATTCCAAATTATCTGGAAATTGGGTCCAACGTCTAGCGAGAACCGATAGCCATTTAAAAGACCAAAAAAAAGGCTTAAGGATAGGGTTGTCGGTTTCAAATATCTAAAATTTCGGTTTGGTTTGTTGCTATCGGTTGACTGAAGAATTTTGTAAAACCGACAACTCTATTTAAGAAAAACCGTCTAAAGATTCATTTTGCTCAATAAAAATGTTAAACTTACAAAATTATTCTCCTTATTATAAAATTGCTTTCTTCCTGTTCCTATATACTTAAAATATGTTTTTTTATTTAAATTCAAATGAAGTTAAAAATTTAAAGATTTTGTTTCTAAAAATAGTTTTTTGTAACTTTAAATACTTAATTTTAATTTAAAAATTTATTTTTAATTTTCTTTAGATTTTTTTTAGTTATAGACAACTTTTATTATGAAAAACAAACGTAGGGGAAGACCTGCAACATCAGCGGTTACTAGAAAATCACCAAGAAAGGAAGCAATAACGACAGAAAGGCCGAGAAGATCTGGTAGAAATAGTAGTTCTGTTGAAAGTGTTAATCAGGTATTTTTAATTAAATAGGGGGCCTCTGTGGATGTTAACGTCTGGCTGGTTTCATACTAATGCTATCTCGTATTGGTTCTTCTAAATTTTTAGAAATACTGGTCAAGGAATTAATATTTTGAAAACTCTAAAATGTTGGGATAATAGGGAAATATGTAGGGCGGTAAGATGAGTGATAGAGAAATCAAAAATTGCAATAGGGAAAAATATATGTTTGTGGGGCAAGGTTGGTGTGGTAATACGAGGGAATTGTTTGAATATTATGGAAAATGGGCCAAAATTTGTGAAAACATAAAATGTTGGAAGACATCATTGACCGCTTTTCAAAATTAAAAAAATTTTTCTAGCCTAATAATGGCCGTTGGGAATTTCGTCCACGTACTTCACATGGTTCAGGCCAAGGGACCAGCCATTCAGCAATGTCAAGAACTATAGAAATGGAAGCCTCCAGTGATGAAAATGATGAAGATTTTTCTCTTTCTTTGGAAACTTTGGTAAAGTTTTATTTAAATTTTTTTTAATTTTTATTTTCAGAAAAGCCTTTTTAATGATCAAATAATTGACGAAATTCAAAAGTTGTCACCTGGTGCTCGTCTAATGGCGATGGCTAATTATATCATTGAAAATCCTGGCCAATTCAGAGCTAAACCTAAAAAGGTTTTTTAATTTGAACTTTTTTTTAATTTTAATATTTTTTTAGAAAGTTGTTATTCCTGATGATGAGTTAGAACCTACTTTTGCCTCAATTGATAGTGCCTTGTCTATGTAAATTTTATTTAACCATATTGTTGGATTGATTAATATTTTTTGAGTAACCGAATGCGTAAACGCCAAGGGGTTGAAGTTTATCCGATTTTGTCCCATCCAAGTTATTTGCCCCCTCCCCTCCTGGGCATGCCGTTAACATTCTGCGTATTTATATTTCGTTTTTCTAAATTTTATTTCTTCAATTTTTTCAGAGATGCCAATTTTCACCCAAAATTGCTTGATGCATTTTTTCAAGACTTTCGGGACCATTACAAACTACATTTTTCAAGAAGTCATTATGCTACTTACGATAAAGAAGTGTGCAATCGTTTATTACATCAACATTTTCCTTCGGTTTTTTTGAATTTTTAATCAAAAAATTTTTTAAATTTTAGTGTCGGACACCTTTAATTGAATTTTTGGTGGATGAATTCTCTGGAAGATATTCAACTGCCGCTTGGATTTGTTTTTTTGTTGAGAGCAATTTGGGATACATGGTTCGAAATTGTAAGTGAAAAAGGCATTTTCTAGTTCATATTTATGAGTATTGTTCTGATTTTGAAGAATTTTCTGTACATGAGTCAAATAAGATTAGAACCTGAATTAAATCAGAAGAATACAAAATAAAGCAGAACACAATCAGAATAATATATATCAGAACATAGTCAGAATAAAATCTCACAATCAGAGTAACTCCTGAAAACCTAGAATAAAATCATAACTAGACCATCATTTAAACAGCCAGTTATATCATCAAGAAACAGCTAAACATTTTTTATTTTTAAATTTTAGTTTTTCTTCTTCTTGAAATGCGTAGTTGGTCAATTATGAGCAAACCTTTGCCTTTACCACGTAAACGTCGAAATAATTGGATTCCAAATCCAACTGAAGGTTCTTTGGCTGATTCAATTAAAGAATTTACTAAAGTTTTGAAACGTTTCCGTAATGATTATAAACAATTATTTTGTGAAAATGAAGATCGTCTTTTGCCTGTAAGTTCATTTTTTTCTAAATTAAAAAATTTTAAATTAAATTTAGAATGTTGAACAAATTGAAAATTTGGAAAATATTGAAAAATTTGAATGTTTGGTTTGCACTGGAGAATTTGCAATTGATAGGGCAATTGGTTGCAATTATCATCCTATTGGTCAACGCAAAAATATTGAAATTGTTGATTTGGTTATACCTTGGGATAAAGAGAAAGGTTTTTTTGATTAATTTTTAAAATAATTTAAGAAAAAATTTTTTTAGTTAATTTTGTGGACAATACACAAAATGAAAAACACCTTTTTTGTGTTGAATGTTTAATTGGACATGCTAAGGCAGCGACGCAAGAAATGCCGTTAGCAAAAGGTGGTGTTGGACTGCAATGTATGGCTTCAAATTGCCCTAATGCTATTTTATTTTGTTTGTTTTTTAATTTTAAAATATTAAAGTAAAATATCAAAATAGCTTAAATTAAAATACTTTCAAGTCCTTTCTATGATTTGGGTTGTTTTGGCTTCTGGACTTTTTTCCGAAACCTAGATAATGCTGTTTTTTCAAATTTAACATTTTTGATTAATTCGCCCAAAGATTTCTGAGTTTTTTTTAGCAAATGTTTTCTAGTTATAATGGATGGCAAGGCCAAGACCCCTTTTTTAGAAACTCCTTTTTTAATCTTAAAATTCGATTTTAATTTTCAATTTCCAGCCGAATGCCGTTTTTATATTCCACCAAATATCCGTCGTCATTTAAATGCTAGAATACTCGAAGAAAATCTTGGTGCTGCAAATTTGGAGAATTTAGAACGGTAAATATTTGAAAAAATAAAGAAAAAAATCTTTTGTTTTTTTAGTTGTACTCAATGCAATTTTTCAATGATCATCGACATTCCATATCAACAATTGCGAGTTTTTTCGTGCCAAAAATGTAAGGCGCAACACTGCCGAAAGTGCAAACATGCTTGGGATGATATTCATTTTGGGAGGAACTGTGAAGATTTACTTAATGTAGCTGAGGAACGAAAACATAATTTGTTGGTTTTTTTTAAATTTAATTTTTGGGTAAAAAATTTTATTGGTTTCCATAAATTATTAACTTCAAACTTTTCCCCACGCTGTGCTTTTTTATTTAGAAGTCGCTGTGTTTGTTGAGACAGAAAATAATAAATATTTAGAATAGGGAGAGATAAAATCGCTCGCGTACTTGTCTATTTTTGTTCGAAAGACACGCTGCGATTTTAAGAATGACATTAATTAACATTAAAGCATTGTAAAGGTGATTAGGCCTTAGAGAACTTGTTTGCAGCTTTCTAAGTTTTGGGATGGGTTGAAATCTTTTTTTAATCTCTCAAAAAATTTTTGCTCAAATTTTAATTTTTATTTTTTTAGTGAGAATCGTTTGAGTGAAGCCATTATTCGTCGTTGTTATAGATGCTCAGTTCCTTTTGTTAAATTGGCAGGATGTAACCAAATGAGTTGTCGTTGTGGTGCTGTTCAGGTTTTTTTTAAATTCTTTTAATTAAAAAATTTTTCGGCTGTAGTGTAGTGTACCGGTGGTAAAAGTTCGGGACGTGACATATGTCATTCGATTCGTCTCGACGAGCTGAGTAGAACGGTACCACTCCCTACTTTAGGAAATAATTCTGGACCGAGTTATAGGCCCCGAAAAATCGAAAAACCAAAGGGGGGACCAAGCACTTTTTTGGGGTGAAAAATTCGAAAATGCAAATTATACCTCATTCGAAAGAGCTCGTCGAGCTGAGTCGAATGACACCAAAATCAACGAAATCCGACTTGATTTGACAAAGTTATGACAGTTTGTTTTAGCTCCTTACCTATGGCATCTGTGGAGACTTTTGCTGCTGCGGAGGCCCCAAATACGTCCAGAGCAAGGGAGATAGGAATAGGTTTATGTTACGAGCCCAGACCCAGCGCCCGTAGACTCCCCGCGAGGCGCGTGCCGCAAAACCCCGCGCGAAGCGCGGGGTTTTGCACAAGCGCCTCGCTGACGCTCCATAGGGTTAGGTTTTTTGTTTTTTGCATCGTAACTTTGTCTAATCTTGTTCAATCAAGCTGATTTTGGTGTCATTCGACTCAGCTCGACGAGCTCTTTCGAATGAGGTATAATTTGTATTTTCGAATTTTTCACACCAAAAAAGTGCTTGGTCCCCCCTTTGGTTTTTCGATTTTTCGGGAACTATAACTCGGTCCAAAATCATTTCCTAAAGTGGGGAGTGGTACCATTCGACTCAGCTCGTCGAGACGAATCGAATGACATATGTCACATCCCGAACTTTTACCACCGGTACACTACACTATATCCAATTTTTCTTTAATTTGTTTAGTGTTATTTATGTCGAGCAAAGGATATTAATTACAGCCATTTTTGCCAGTAAGAATCTTACAAAAAAAATTTTTTTAAATTTATTTTTAGGCATTTTCGAAATCCCAAGCTTACTGGGTGTAGCCAATGTAAGAAAACGTGTCTTTTGTGGCACCCTGAAGATTATGTTGATTCAATTGCTTTAAATGAATTGAGGAAAGAGGCTGAAGAGGAAGGAATTGAATTGGTATGAGGATTTTTTGAGTTAAAAAATTTTTTTCAAAAATTTTTTTTTGAAATTTTTAAATGAAAATGACATTTTCTGGGAGAATTTTGGAATAATTTTTCGAGTTGATTTTTTTTTAATAATTTTTATTTTCTTTTTCAGTAAAATTTTGCCCCATGAATTTGTTGACTTTGGGTTTTGGCAATTTAAAAAGCATGGAAATTATTTTTGTTAATTGTTATTTTGAGAGCTTTATTTATTGATTGGATTTTTACTTAAACCAATTGTATTTTTTTCTTTTTTAAATTTTAATCTTCAGAAAATTAATTTATTTGTTGACAGTTGAACCTCGGTTATTTAAGTAGACACTCCCAAAGAATTTTTTTGTTAGTTAATAGGTAGGTAAGTTATCCAGGTAATCCCCTCTCAATTTAGCTATATCTCGTTATATTTTTTGCCTCAAGGTAGGGGGGGGGGTATCAAATAGAGGTTTGACTGTAATTTAAGTATATCTGGACAACATTCACTGCCTTTTAAATTTTATTTTTTAACAGAGAAATGGTGTTAAAATTTATTGCCCCGTTGATTTTACACATTTTTTACAAAATAAAAATTTGAAAAATTATTTAAAAATTATATTTTTAATTAATTCAATAGTTCTGTCATCATTTAAAATCCCCATATGGTCAGCCCCATCCAAAACCGTTATATTTACTTGATAACCAGAATTATTGTCAGAACTCCATTGTTTACAAACACTTAGGGAACGTAAATTAACTGTTCCGTCACCATTTCCATAACTGAAAAAATTGGAAAAATTTTTTGAAAAAAATTCTAATAGACGTCCATAACTTTCTCTAGAGGCTCCTTTTTAATTAAATCATTTTTATAGGACTTGATATTTACTGGGAAAAAATCTGAGATTTTTTAGTACACAAATTAGGTTGGTCGGAACTCCCCTAATTCTATCTGCCAATTTTGACCGAACGTTTTCCTTGATTTTTCAGTTGGCCGGTTCTCCGTTGTCTTGACTATCAGTTGCCCGCTTCAATTGGCGGAACTCCCCTGATTCTATCTGCCAATTTTGACCGAAAGTTTTCTTGGAAAAATTTTTTGATTGCGAGTGGGATTGCTTTTTCATTCCATTAAGAATACTATAAAAAGGCAAGGTTGATAGTAATTAACAATCAACTTGCTCTTCTTACTCTCCGTTCTCCACCTCAGTTTCAATTATACGTCTTTGATGTTGCCGGCGTTCATTTTTATGTCTTGGATTGGTATCCTGCTGCTCGCTTCTGTGGCCGTTTTTGTGCCTTGTGCCAAGAAGAAGGTGTGTTTTTTTTATTATTTTTAAGTGTCCTTCTAATCAATTTTTTTCAATTTCAGAAGAACCCCAAACTCAAATCTTCACAAAGGAGTAAGATGCAGTACACCTCAAAGATGGATTCAAAGATGGGAGGAGCATCAAGGAAGATAGACTCGCCTCATTCTGTTATGACTTCTGTCAAGACTGCTGCCCCTCGTTCTCCGGGAAAATCCAAAAAGCAGAAGGACCTCAACAGCACCGGGACTGTCAGGCACAAGCTTACAAAACTGGAGCCGGATTTGGGTTCACGCAGCGACACGGACGAATCTGATGTTAGATCGAGGGAGACTGGACAGCGGACACGTGAAAGGGACGCTTTTGAAGAAACGGGGACGCTTGAATTGCAGGAGAGGCTCAGACGGGAGGTGGAAGGCACAAAAACGGTGAGGGATTTTTGTGCTTAATTCTCTTCAAAATCTTCAAAAATTTTTTCAATTTTTTCAGACAAAGCTTCCCGGTCCTCCTCGTACACAAATAACGCCGACCAAATCCCAAACAGTGACGACATCAGTTATGGGGAAAACTGCCACGTCCACCACAACCATGGGAAAGACTGCCACGTCCACAACAATTATGGGGGAAACTGCCATGTCCAAAACAACAAGATCGGCCTCTCTACAAGGTTCAACAGTGCTCGAAGAAAGAAAGCCGGTCCAAGTCAACAGAGCCGCGGGTGTTCGATCAAAGACAATTTCGCAGATCGGAACAGGACAAGAACAAAGTCAACAAGATGAAAATGAAGTCAGAAATAATAAAGGAGGTGGAAAATCTAAGGATAAAACAGGAGAGGTGACAGAAGAAGAAGGGACGACGACAGTTTTTGGCAAAATGAAAAAAACGATCCAGAAATTGAAAAAGCCATAGCAGGAAAAAGCGAAGAGTTTGATGTCATTGAATGAGAAGGAAGAAAGAGGGAGAGAGGCGAGAATAAATAAATTGATATATATATGTATGTTTGATGTTGATAATTAATGTGTATATTTTCTTTTGTGTTTGTTTTTGTGTGTATATTTTTGGATTTGGCTTTGTTTGTTGGGAATAAAATTTGTGAGATTAGAATTGTGTTGGGAGTTTGGTTTTAAGCAAAAATAGGTTTTTTGGATTGCTTTTTTACTTTTTTTAAATTCTGTCTAGTTCCATTTTGTGCTTAGGGTTTGTTCTCGGTGGAGAAAGTCCTCGCGGAAAAGGGTTCTCCCAGAAGTTGGGAAAGACTCCTGGAAAATTTTTTAGAAATAGTGAAATGGGTGGGGAACATCCAGAAAAGTCAAATTCCTTGACTTTTTAATGGCGAGGATACTTATAATAGAGAGGGGTTCTATTGGAGTTTTAAAAATAAATTTTGTGTGTCAGTTGAATCATTTTTCTTACTTTTTTTGCCTCCTCTAAAAATAAATCATTTACCTTATATAAGGCTGATAATCAGGAAAAAGCCAATTATGATACCAAATATATTGTTCAGGCGTTTTTACTTCACTTCCATAAATACAGTAAACCTTTTTTAATTAAAATTTTTTTTTGAATTTTTATAAATTTACTTTAACCCCCGGAGGGTCAATTATAAGTGAAGGACTTTCACTTTTCCATTGCTCCAATCCTTGTGGAAATTCTATATCAGTAAAGAATTCTTCTATATTTGACAAGGAATAATTTTTTCTATTAAAAAAATTAAAAAAATTTTTTTCTCAATTAAAATTAACCTTGGAGTTATTACAAAAGTCTCGTTTGGCCCCCACAGTTTAGGCGAGGGAAATAAAAGTGCTGAACTAGTAAATGAACGTTGCATTGTTCGTAAACGGGAAGGTGGTAAAACAACTCGCCAATGGTCCATGTTATAGCCTGTTAAATATTAATTCTAATAGACGCCCATGGGACTTTATAGTTGGGCTTTTATTAGAGAGGGGCGTTTATTGAAATAAATTAACAAATTAGTCTTCTATTGGAGAGGGGGGTTTTAAAAAATAAATTTTGGAGGGCGTTTATTGGAGAGGTCATAATTAGAATAAATTAGACGCCTATTGGAGATGGGCGTTTATTAGAATATTTTTTGAGGGAGGCGTCTATTAGAATATTTTTTAGAAGTTATTTAGAGTAAATAAAATTCTCCTACCAGAGGCATACACTTTAATAACTTGTGTGGACCCTCCCCAAGCTCCAGCTAAAGAAATGTGTCCTTCCAGAAACTTGTCTTTCCAAGCCTTAAAATATTAATTTAAAAAATTTTCTTCAGGGATTTACCTGATTAACAAAATTATGATAAAAATAGTTAGCCATACAATTACCCATTGAATGTGCCATTATAACAATTTTTTGATTTTCATTTTTATAAAATAATGTTTCAATTAAATGTTTAAGTTTAACAAAATATTTGGATAATTCTCTTGGCGCCCTTCTCCAATCATAAGGAGCACCTACAACGTTAATTCCACGTGTATAGCCCCAAGAGACAAGTGATTCGACGATTGGGGCAAAGTATTCGGAAGGTGATCTTCTGGAAGCATCGAGCCTTTAAAAGAAAGTTTTAGGAGAAACCCAAAAGATCAACGTTAAATTGATCAATTCTTCCCCTAATTGATCAGCTGAGTATTAACCAAAAAATTGTATCCTAGGGTAAAGCCAAAAGGTCAACACTGAACTGATCGCTCCTCCTAATAAATCCACGTTGATCAGTTGGGTGTTGATTAAATGCAAAATGTAATTTTTGAATTTTGTGGTAACCCAAAAGATCAACGTTAAATTGATCAACTCCTCTCCTTGAAGATCCTTGAATCTCCCTTAAAAACCACATTGATCAGTTGGGCGTTGATCAAAAAAGTCTAAATTTCTTAAAAAGTCACCATTCAACAGTTTCAGTATTTCCAAACCCAGGCACCCTCACATGTACACCTTCAAGTTCCTGTGCCATCCCAGTTGTCACATTAAATTCCAAACGCATATTATCTGCCCAACAATCAATTATTAGAGGGCTGAATAGCTTAATTATTTAAATATTAATTTTTTAAAGAATTTCTACTTAAAATTACCTCCAAATTCAACCATAAATCAAAATAATCTTTTGTTGTCTTGTCACAGAATATATGGACAGTGGAAGGTTTTCCTTTAAAAAATTTTAGATTACTTTTAAGTACAACCCTTTGGGACGGGAAAAAGTCCTATAATGAGGTGTATCTGAAGGTATTGCTAATTGCTTTTTAAAGCCTTCCCGTCCAGTAACTAAACAAAGTTTAAAAACATAGTACATACATTAAGGAGGTTCTAGCAGGGGGGTGCCGTTTCGTCTTTCGCCTCTTAAAATTTGTTTCGGCACACCCCTTGGTATATAGTCTCGGGCTTAGTGATAGTTGCTTTAATTCTTAGGCTTATAGTAATTGTTCTAAAATATTCCCTTTCTCATCCCTCATATAAAATCACCTGTTAAATTAGCTCGTAACCTACTCCCAGCATCACCAGGTACTTTAAATTAAAAAATATTTTCAAATCATTAAAGATTAATTAAACTTATAACAATCGGATTTGGAGGTTTTTTAGGCTCAGTAGGATGTGAATGATGAAATAAATTGTATTTGAAAATATTTTGGGTTGATTTAGAAATTAATAGTAGAAAAATAAAAATAAAACGAAAAAACATTTTTTAAATTATGCTGAAATTGAATTTTTAAATTAAATAAAAAATCGTATCTTGTCCCTTAAATTGAGGTAAAAATAAAACTCTCCAACAAAACTAATAGTGCTTAATCCCTATAGTTACTACAAATTTTGTTTCTCTAGTTTCAACATAAATTAGTGTCTCTATTTTCCGGAAAACATCTACTCTAACATTTTTCCGGAAAACATTTTATAATTATTTTTAGTTGAATGAAAATAAACTTTTGAATTTTCCCCAACCTTTTTAAAGTAAATGAGCAAAAAATATCGATAACTAAATAATTCTTCTTATGAAAAAAAAAATAATTCCCCTCTTACTTAAAAGAAATATTAGAAAATTAGCTGATAAAAAGTACTCTTTAAGAGAAAATATATGATAATCTTATGACCAGTAATCATATTTAGTAAGTGAGACGGTCGACCGACACATGTTAGGTTACCCTTCTGACTTGTCATAAAAATTTTTTTTGACATTTTCAAAAATTTCCTAGAAATTAAAATATTTTCTTAGACCTTCAGACCAAATTCCAGACAAACCCAATCCACTAAAAATCATTACAAACAAAAATAAACCAAAATCGTCTGTTTATTTTTTTAACAAAGCGCGCCAAAAAATTAAAATAAAACATTAAATTTTTAAAATTGTGGTGTGCTTTTTAGGTACTTTTTAAAAGAAAAATTAAAAAAAAATTTTTTTTGATTTTAAAAAGTACCCAAAAAATAATATTTTTAAAATATAATCAGACGAATAGAATGACAATAAAATAAAAGAAAGAATATATAATAGATTGGGAAAAAATATTTCTAGGGGAAAGAAAGGTAATTTTGCAGCTTACTCCTCTTTATCCTTCTTAATAATTTTTTTTTATTTTAGTAGACTTAAAAATTTGAGTGTTTCAAAAACTACCCTATTATCACTAAAATTTCTTTTTCTCTAGTCTCAACGTAAATGTTTGTCTATATTTTCCGGAAAACATCTCTTCTCTACTCTTTATTCCGGAAAACACTTCAGAATTATTTTTAGAAGCGTCTTTTCTCTTATTGTTAGAGAAATGTGTTTTTTTTAGTAAATGTATTTTTCCGGAAACTGTTTAATTAAAACACAAAAAATACAATAAAATATTATTTATTAAAAGGATGAGAAATAAACTGCAAAATTAGCTTTTTTTTATTTTTTTTTAATTTCAAAAATTTCCAAAATTTTAAAAATAAAATTTTATTTAAATAAAAATTTTATTTTTAAATTTTTGCAAATTTTTTGTAAAGATAATTAATTTAAAAAAAAAGTTCAACACACACCATATATTCAACCAATTTAAAAAAATCTCAAAATTTGATTAAATAAAAGTAAAAATGGGAAGAGAGGAGAAGAAAGAGAGTGAAAAAAGGTGAACGATGAAAAAAGATTTTTTTGTAAGAGGAAGGGTTTTTTGTCCAAATTTTTCGTTTTTAATTTTTAAAAATTTTTTGGAAGTCAGAAAATTAAGAAAAAAAAATTTTTTTTCGACATTTTGAAATTTTTACCAAAACGAAAAAAAATTTTTTTAGGACAAAAACCCCTATACACACTGAAGAGGATAAAAATTAAATATCCCAACACAAATATTTTTTTATTTTTTAAAAAATCATTTATCCTCCTCTTTTTTACTTTTTTATTCTCCTTTCATTTTTCAATCTTTTTTTTTCATCTAAAAATGTCTTGTTCACTTTCTCTTTTTTTATTTTGAGGAAACAACAACTCCCACTTCCATGACTTCAACAGCCTCAACTTTGCCTTTCTTAGCATTGGGTGCTTCTAGAAAAAGAGAATTTTTTTGTTTTGGAAAAATATTAAAAATTCCCCTTTTTAGGGAGAAAAATTTTCAAAAAAAAGATTTGTGTGTGGTATGAGTCATCTTAATTGACCAACCACCGTTGATATAAAATTTTTTAAAAAGGCAAAATTTTTTTGTTGTTGAGACTTTTGTAGTTTTTCTAACTTATATTCTCTATATAGTGGATAGTGAAAGTGCTCTCTACTTAAATTTTCATCTTTAAAAATTTTTAATTTATATATTGTGTGTGTGCACAGACAGAAAAATATAAATATATATATGAGAGATATTAGGATGACTCACCCCCATCATGAATCCCTTTGCCGCCAACTGGATCTGTTGCTGAAGCGTCAAGGCCAACAACAACATCATAACCATCATTTTGGTCTTCATTGACGCCGCCAGCAAAAGATCCAGCACGCGCTCTTTTCTGCCCTGTTTTTGCACCTCCTCCAAGTTGTTGTGTTTCTGGCATTGGAAGAGGATCAGGAATTCGATCAATTCCAAGAATTTTGTAAACTTGATTGTAAGCAATTAAACGAAGCGCATGTTGGGCTGAAGATGTAATATCTTCTCGTTCTTGATCGGTTATATGTCCCAAAACATCTACGGGCTCTTTCTCGCAAGGATCCAACAATTTTGAACGCTCTTAAAATTGAACAAAATTATAATAGTTTTCTCTATTCTTCTTGATTAGCTATCACAGAGTATCTTCCCAATACCCACAGGGATGAGTCTAAAGCATTTAAGAAAGCTTTTGTACAGATATACGGTATCCGAACCCCGATCCGAAATTAATTTTTAAGCCAATCAACTCGTGATATATCCCCCACACCATTTCCAATCATAAAACTATAACAATTAAAAACAAACTGCTAAGAAAAATGCCGCTTGAGATCACTTCAAAAATTCGTCGAACAGCATCGCCAGGGCTCAAAGGCATAGAGATAGAAGCAATCGTCTTTTCAACAAGTAAAATGATAGCCCAATTATGAAGTGGAGACCAAGTACGAACTCGTTGACTAATATCTCTAACAGCTTTAACAGTTGGATTCATTGAATGTAACGGCATACATTTTACCTAGAAATAGCAAAATTTTTAAAAATTTAAACAAAATTCTTTCATACTTGATAAAACTTTGCACGTCGAAGTTCAGCCAACGCATTAAGACAAGCTTCCCTTGGAAGAGGATCAATTGGAGGTGCTTCTTCTTCAACTTTTGCTGCCTCAGTTTCTCCTTCCTTCTGTTGAGGTGATGGTTGATTTCCTTCACGCAAAACTACAGATGTCATAGTCACTCTACATTCAAATGGAATTGTGCTAAGATTAATAATAAAAGCTGCCTCGTTAATTTTTTCTTGAATTGTCAATTTATCGGTATCATTGAGCTTAAAATTTACAAAGAAATTCTTTAAAAACTTGAAACATACTTCAGCAAATTTTTTGAACAGTTCAACAACTTTTTTAAGCAACGTAATAGATGGAATATTTGAGCACAGAACCACAAGATCAATCTGAAATAGATGGAATAAATTGTTTATATTTAAAAAGAGAAATAAAAAATTACCATTTTGTCCGTTTTAAGAAGCAAATGTTGAGCTAACAGTCCAACTCGCATCTAAATCAAACATGAAATAAACTTTAAAGAGAATAAGACTTACCACACCCTTCAAGACACGTTTTTGCTCCACTTGTTCTGCTGTTAATTCGGTCGAATTAATCATAGAGTCAGAAACTGCTTTAAGAGTTTTCTGAAAATATAAGATAGGTCAACAATAATCATTTTGAGACATTTAAACAAACCTCAACATACAAAGCCAAACGATCAACTTCTCTAACTTCTTCAATGCTAAGTTGAATTTGCTGAAGTTTTTGAATAACATGCTTATCATCCATAACTTCCTGGTTTCGAGGCATTGGAAGAATAGGACGTGGCTGTTGCATAAATTGGAATCTGAAAAAAAAGGTTTAGAAAATCAGTAAAAATTTAAAAAAGAATTACTCGGCACGTCCATTATAGTATCCATCATCTTTTTGACCACGACGACGATGTCCATCACGACGACCTCCCCAACCACTCTTATTTTCAACTTTTAAACTTGGGTCAACTTTTTGCTAAAAAATTTTAAAGTTAAATAAATTATCTAAAAATTACTTTATATTGAAGACGATGACGCCTTCCTTTAAGATGAACGTTCTTAGCGTTAATATCACTGAATTTACAGTCACAGAGCTTACACATGTATGCAACGAATTTTCCAAGTGAATCCTTGTCTTCTTCAATAAATTCTTCACCAACTGGCTTAACATCTTCATCGCCCAACAAAGCTTTCTAAAATAATAACCAATAAAAAACCGAATTAAGAAGAAAACCTCCAAATCTTGCGGTTTCATAGCTCCAGTAACAGCAGTAGCCGCATTTGTGCCCATCTTATATTCCTCGCCAGTAGTCAAAAGAGTAGTTCCTCCAACAAATTTAGTCCCAGTAACACCCACAACCTTCTTCAATGGACCAGAAGTTCCAACAGTTGGAATTGGTTTGCCCTGAGCTTTAGTCGTCAAATTGGCCCCAATGTTGTCCAAGTCAATTTGTGGAACAGGCTTGCCCATACGGCGCAACAAAGCAATTGTACGTTGATGTTTTTGGCCTTTAACGTGAGCATCAAAAGTGTCCTTACTGTAAAAGAAATTAGATAAACCAGAAAAGTCAGAAGAAAATCCAAACCTTGAACAAGTAACCTCACAAACTTCACATCGAAAACCAATGCGTTTATGCATAGCTTCTTCCTTAACAGCTTGTTCCCTTTTCTTATGAGGCTTTCCATCAGTGTGGTCCTTATAAGCTGCTTGCCCAGCGCAACTAATCTTGCAAACTTCACAAAAGAAATGCTGAATATCACGACTTTGATGACCAAGTCCGTAACGTTTCTTTCCTCCAAACTGACCACCTAAAAGAAAATTAAACAGAACCTTCCTATAGAAATTACCTCGACCTCCCTTCCAATTTGAACCGCCAGTTCGAGCCTGATTCTTGTTCTGAAGGTAATTGGATGCAGCAGCATAGACAGCAGCTTCATAGCCAGCATAGTGTGCAGTAACAGCATTTGCTCCAGTCCCCGCACCAGTCTTTGCAGCACCAGTGGTAGGCTTCCCTCCACCAATCACTCCATAAGCTCCAGAACTAATCGTCGCTGTATGAGTTTTTTAAAAACTTTAATGAAGGTAAATAAACCAGTATAACCAGTATAGTCGGTAGATGTTGGTTGACCAGTATAACTGCCAGTAGCGGTAGCCGTTTGTTGCTGTTGAGCAGCCTGACTATAATGAGCATAAGCAGAAGCCGCCAACGAATATTGGGAGGTGCTAGAATTTAAAAGATTAAATCGGCAAGAGATAAAATCCCTACTCATACGTGTAACCACTAGCGGCAGCAGCATTCCCCATCTGTGTCATTGCTGCGGCTGTTCCAGTTCCCGTTGTTCCAGTCTGCTGTTGATATCCAACCAAATTAGCAGTTTGTTGTCCATTTGCAGAAGCGTATGCAGGATAATTATAAGCAGTTTGTTGATAACCAAACATTTTCTTAACAAATAACGAAAAACAATTTTCAGAAAATATACTCAAATTTATCTGAAAAATAAAAGAAAATGTAAAAAGCGCACTGGTTATAATTCGTGATTTTCACAAGAAAATTCCAAAAAATAACTCAATAATTAAGGTCTTACAGTTAGTAGATCAAAAATTTTTTTACCAAACATTCATTGATAAAGACAAGGAATAAAAAAATCGTATAGTAATTGGCAAACTAATCAAGCAAAATCAAGAAAAGGGCAAATTGATTTTTTTACAGTCTCTTTAATTTACAGAATGCCAAAAAAATTTATTTTGGATATTTTGTCATCTTTTGTCACGCAAAAATATAAAAGATAACCTGGATTAAGGAAATCCGTTTGGATATTTCTGTTTTGTTCCACGTATTTAACAAAAGCCAGGTATTGCTTATTGGGCACCCTTTCCTTCAAAAAAAACTGAGGAAATCTCTGCGCGACTAATCGATAGAGCTATACGCGGCAAATTAAATTTCACGGGGATAAATATGTAGATTTTAAAATTGATACCCTCTTTTTTTGTCGATTTATGACGTCATTTTGTTTTGTTTTAATTGTTTTATTTTTAGTTAAAAATGCCTTCACATCGCTCTGAAGAACGTGAACGAGATCGTGACCGAGAACGAAACCGCGACAGAGACCGCGATAGGGACCGTGATCGAGACCGTGACCGTAAATCTACTCGAAAGCGTTCTAGATCGAGAGATCGTGATGAAAGCTCTGAACGGAAACATAAGCGTTCTCGTCATCGAGATCGTGACAGGGAGAAGGACAGGTTTTTCTTCTATTTTTTTTATTTTTTAAAATTATTGTTTAGGAGCTCTTCACCTCGTGATCGTCATTCGTCTACTAAAACGCGTGAGGAATCTTCTAAAAAACATAAATCTTCAAAGCATTCAAATGTGAGTTTATATTATTTTTATTTCTATTATTTTCTCTTAATTTCAGCCCAACCCTTCTTTAACCGGCGAGGAAGACGAGGAAATGATGAGTGTTATGGGCTTTGGTGGATTCAGCACTACAAAGAATAAGCATGTTGATGGCAATGCTGAAGGAGAATCAAAGATTAATCGGCCGCGTAGATATCGCCAATATATGAATAGACGTGGAGGATTTAATCGACCGCTTGATTATGTTGCTTAAATGGTAATTTTGAACATTTTATGGGCTCCATTTTCATTTTTTTTTCTTATTTTTCCTTGGGTTACCCCTGGGGTTTAAACTTATTCAAGGGAAAGAACCTGTTAACAAACTGCACAAAAATTAATCTCTTTTTTGATTGATAAGGTTACGAGAGATCGGCCTGGATCTGGATCTAGACCTTGATTTTTCCTGTGTCCAGAGTCGAGGACACGGTATTTTTTGCTGTTTTCTGATTGAGCCTTGATTTTTCTTTGACTTCAAGGTTAAGAATCTGGTTAAGGTCCCAAAGCATTCACTATTTCCTGGTTGAGCCTCGATTTTGATTTATCCTTGACTCAATGTCAAGAATCTGGTCAAGGTCCTCAACCTAGAAGATCATGTTTTTCTAATTTCCTCTCTGATATTTTCCAAGGTAGAACAAGGGAAAGCAGGGAAAAATGAAAAAGCGTTCCATAAAATTTGCAAAATTATCGTTTAAATTTAAAAATAGCTGATGTTTAAATACGAGCTCAATTTTTGTTTGTGAATATTTATTTGGATATTTTATTTTTTGTAATTGTGTGTTAAACGTGATCTCTCTATCATTTTTCTCGTTTTAATTTATTTTTATGAATATTTTTACTCTCCTCAATATTTAAAATGATTAATATTTGTTAATTTTTATTTTTTTTTTAAAAGAAAAATTTTAAAAGAAGCAACAATATATTTACATTAAAAACATGGCATTGGTACCAGAAGAAGTTCCAACTGTAAATTTATTTTTTCTCGTTTTTTAAAATTTAACATTTTTTCAGACCTCGGCAGACGAAGCAACAAAAGAATTTTTTGGTTATTTGGTAGAGGTAGATTGTGGTGAACAAGGCTCTTATAGTGGTCTTGTAACTCAAGTTGAGCCGGCTGATAATAATTTGTCTACTTGGGGGAAGTTAAAGCTTGAAACTCCGTTTAGGTTAATTTTTATGTTTTTTATAGACCGTCTTTGAGAGGGTAAAGAGGGTTTCAATTTTTGCTCGCCAAGTTGACTAAAAGTCTTTTGCATCAGGGATGTGCGTCTAGCGTTGTTTTTGACCGATTTTGGCGTGATTCGAAAAATTGGCGTTTGGCGCGCCATTCGAAAATATTGGCGCACATCCCTTGTTTGCATGTTGGCAAAAATCGATTATTTGATTATTATAGATTTTAGGGTCTTAAAAATAAATTAAAGATTTGACCTTTAATTTATTATTCGCTTTTTTTAATCGCTTTATTGCTAAATTAATTTTACAAAATTTTAAATTTGTATATTTCTTAATTAAAAATTTTTTTAAGAAATGGAGTACCTCTTGGAGAACAAGTGGCAATTTTCGTTCCCGGCGAGTTAATTGTAAATATTAAAGTACTTAATATGCCCTCATCACAACAGCCACAACCATTTGTTTTTACACCAACAAAACAGCCACAAAGTGCTCCACAAACTCCACGTCCCGCAATTTCTTTACATCAAACGCAACAGCCACAACGAACTTCTAATCAGCTACAACAGCCTCCTAAATTCCAGCATCAGCTACCACATCGTGCTATACAGCCGTATCCAAAATTTCAGCACCAACTACCAGAACGTTCTTTACAGCCCTATCCAAAATTCAAACATCAGTTACCAGAACGTTCTTTACAACAACAACAAAAATTTCCTCATCAACAGCAACCAAAATTTCAGGTAATTTTGAACTTTTGTAACTATCACTCATTTTTCGTCGATCAAAATGTGTGTGGGTGGGGTTGATGGGATTCTGACCATTTTGCACCTTTTGAAGTTTGAAAAATGAGGCAGGGTGGTCGTTGACTATTATGCACCTTTTGAGAATTGAAAAAAGTCGAGGGGATATAAAAATTAGAGGTCGGCGCGGGACGGGATCCCGACGGAATTTATTCGGGATTTATCTCTCTGGATCCCGTCCCTGCATCAGTTAAGAAAAAATCCCGACTCGGGATCTCGGAAGTGCGATTTTGCCGACTTTTAATAAAAATTCTACATTTCCAAATTTTCTTTTTCAGCACCAAAATAATAGATTCCTTCCTCTTCAATCACCAAAACTTCCTTTACAACAACAACTTCTCCAACATTCTATTCAACAACAACAACGTTTTCCTTTAAATCCATTTTCATTTCCTTTCGTGGACAAAAATTCTGTGATTCGACCAAATACGGCAACTCCACAAGGTTTTCATCGAAAAATATTCAAAAATCGAGGTCTTCAAATTACTGAACCACCTCAAAACAACAATAATAATAACAATAAAACAACAAAATTTGTTCCACGAATTGTTGAAATAAACAATAAAAAGGAGGAGAAGGTGGCTGATTCCAAAACTGTTGTGAAACAAAATTCTAACAAAAGAACGGAAAAATCTGTTCCAAAAGCAGAACAAAAGAAAAGGAGTGAATCAACAACTTCTTCAAATCAACAAATTCAAAAGACTGTTGAAAATATTGTTAAGGATGAAAAGATTCGAGAACAAGTTGATAGGAATGCTGCTTTGTTTGCTAAGGTTTTTTTGATTGTTTTTGACTCTCGTTTAGTTTATGTGTCCCTTTTTGTATATTGGATTTTCTTTGGGTATAAAATTTGAGGGTGCTGGGTTTTTGACGTTTTTTGGTTCTGACAAGGAAAACGGTCGTGACCGGGCTCTTCGATAGGGAATGTGCCATTTCTAGCAAGGACTTTGTGTCGTTTTTGCCCGGGTGACTTGCAGTTGACTTGCACTATCCGTTAGTCTTTTCCTGCCGATTTTCTAGCTATAATCAAATTTTTGGAAGTTTAAGAAAACCGATCATAACTGCCAAAATTGATATGAATAAACTAACGACTGGTCCTATTCAACTGAACATAGGTTCTAACAATTAGTCCAAAAACGTCAAGGACCAAAACTTGACTTTTAAAACAAAGAAAATCCAATTTACAACTTTAGAGGACGCATAAACTGGACAAACGACAATTTGTCCTATTTTTACTTTTATCGTTCAACAAAAATTTTTTTATTCATTCATTTGAACCTTACAGAACAGTGCGAACTTTCTATATTAAAAAAATTTTTTAGTTAAAAGTTGATGGCCAATCAACAATTGAAGGTGGTCAACAACAATTTGAATCTTTAAAAAAGATTGAAGAGCAACAAAAACAAAAAGCTCAAAATCGAAAGACAATTGGAGATAAATTAAAAAAGCAAATTGAAGATCATATTAAAAAAACTGAAAAGGAAGCAGCTGAAAAGAAGCAGAAAATTAAAAAAGAAGAAGAAAACAAGAAGGACAACAAAAAGGAGGAGGTTGAAAGTAAAATTGTTGAGAAAAAATTTGGAGGAAAACAACGACAAAATAGTTTTGATGAAATTCAAAGTTCAAGTAAAGCACCAAATGATGGGGATTTGGCATCTATTCGTTGTCCTGATGGTATTTATCAAGGAGTTGTTAAGGAAGTTAATGCTGAAGATCAAACTATTCGATTGGAAAATCCATTGCTGTAAGCGCTTCTTTTTTTCATAGTATTTTTTTTAGTTATTATAATTTGGTTGGACAAAACTGGGAGGGGGTTTAGACAAGGAGTTTTGTGTTTAAAAGGTGAAAATGGTTTCAGGGTTTTGAGTAGGAGGGCAGAAGTTGGGTCGAAATCAGAGCTATTTCGAAATTTCGATTTCTTTCAACTTTTCCTTTCGATTTCGCTTCTCGAAGTTTTTTTTTGTGAAATAGTGTAAGGATGATTCACCTCAGCTCCTGTATGTGGTGAGCGAAAGCGCCTACCAATAACTACGAGAAGGTCGCAGGTTTGAATTCTGCTTGGTGCTAAACTTTTGTTAAACTCTTTCTATGGTTGAAATTCTGATTTCCGCTTTTCGACTTGCAAAAATTCCAAAGATTTTGAATTCAACCCGCCTCTGCTTGTTCAAAATTTTAAACTTTGAGTGACCTGGTGAGGTTCTTCAATTTAGTTTAACTAAAAACTTTTGTTTTGTCCAATCCAAGAAATCTATACACACTATATAATACACTCATATACTATAATTTTATATAAAAAATACCTCTCTAAAAATATTCTATAATGTCCTATAATTGTGATTTAGAGTAAGAGATTTTTCTATATATTTTTTATTGTTTAAAAGTGTGTGTGTATTTTTAATATTAGTGTGGCCATAAAAAAAAATTTTTTTTTAAATTATTAATTGAGAAAAAAAGACGAGAGAGCCGTCTCTTCATTTTCTATACTATTTTACTGTTTCTATGATTTTTTTGGTCACATATACACATATCCTCTCCCTATATTTTAATTGCACAAAATATTTTTTTAAAAATGTGTGTGTTTAATTAATTCTAAAAAAAGAGAGAATTCTATACTAGAAAATAATTAAAAATATTATGTTTTCAAATTAGTGAAGAATTCAAAAAAATTTTTATAAAAATTTTTTCCAAATTCCGCTTTAGCCCCATAGACTTTTAATTTATTTTTTCTCCCCTTTAATATTTAAATATTAAATGATATCATTTATTTATTGATCAAAAAAGATTAAATTGAGAATTGCTTGATAGTGACCCAAACGTGTTTGGACATATTGATTTTTACCAAAATGACATTGATCTTTGAAATTTTCTCTTCTTTGTTTTTTTTATTTTTTGGTTAAGAAGGCGCTAAAGTGGAAGAATATTTGGGTATAATTTCGGAATACTAAACATAGTCTGATTGTGACAAATTATATGTCAATCAAAAGGGCTCGTCGAGCTGAGTCGAATATGTAATTAGGGTTGGGGTTTTCGAGTCGGGCCGACGTTAGAGTCATTCTTTTCGGGCCGGCCCGACCGAGTCTTTCGGGCCAAAATTCAATGTCCGACTCGATCTTTCGGATTGGGCTGGATCGGGCCCCCAACCCTACTTATAATAGGACCGGAGTCTGTTTATTATTCCGAAATTTTCCAAATATTTTACATTATTAAATTCATTTATTTCCTATAAAAAAATTTTTTTGTCTTTTCTTTTGTTTTTTTATTTTATTGCACTTTAAAATAGCAATATTATTTTTTTTTTCAATTTTTTTCCGACAAAAAATTTTTTTTCTTTAAGGAACGGTGTGCGTCTTTCAACAAATTTTATTGATTTGCCACATACAATTATGAAAGGAGTTAAATTTTATCCGTATGTTTTTTTTGTTTTTTTTCCGAAATTTTGTTCGTTTAGGGACGATCGTAATGGCAACAATCGTCGCCGTTCATCACGCGAATTGCGTGGGCCTAAAATTTTTGAAGGCGTTTATATGCAAAGTTTACCGGTATCTTCTGTTCAACGAAAGCAACAGCATCAGTCTGAGCGAAGATCTGACAGTCCTAAAGTTAACAATAAGAAGGATTCTGAGGTGGAAACGAGGTCTCCTACGCAATTGGCACATGAGGAATATGGCGAATATAAAAAGTATGATTTGTGTAAATAAGGATGCCTTTTGATGTTTTGATCTATGGGGCTTTGTAAATTTCTTTAGGTCCTTTACATTTGGCATTTTTGGTTATTGTTTGTTTAAGGATTTTATTGTGTTGAATTTACCTCTAGCTATCAAAGACGTATTTAATCATGCCTACCCCCGAAATCCACCATACTTCCTCACTAACGAGTAGAGATTGGAAATCTGAAAATTAGCCTTGGTCATGAGGTTAGTCTTGGTCATCAACTTTTCTCTGGGGACTTATGTTAGTAGCTTGAGAAGTTTGTATACTTTTTAATTGTGGTAATCGGAAGGGAAAGCGTTTGCAAACGAAAGCTTGCGTGTGCTTGAGTTAGCATAAATTTATACGTTTTTAAACTCATTTTCTCCTTTTTATGATTGCTAAACTAAGTGACTGACCAAATGAAATTGAGGGAAACAAATTTTTAAATTTCAGATTTACTGAGCCACAAATCCCATTTCCTGTAAAACTCCAGCTTAATACAACCCCTAAGCGGCATTTGAACAGCAGCAATTCTGGTTATTTTTTAAACAATTTTTTTCTTTTAAAATATTCTTTTGTAGGTCCAACAGGAATTCCAACAATTGATTGCATAAACGGTTATCGAGGGTATGGCGATAAAAACAATTTTGTGGATACTATGGGTGATCCTTTGGATTATGAGACGTTGAATACCGATTTTGATTTTGCTGCTAATTTGGCATTGTTTGACAAAGCGGTTTTTTTCTAAAATTTTTTTAAAGTTTTTTTTCTCTTTTCCAGGCATTCACCAAACAAATTGATCATGTCGCCCTTGGGTTGAATTCGAGTGGTTCAAATTCGCGTAATTACAACCACGATGAGAATGTTCTTTTGGTTTGTTTATTTTGTTTAATTTTTGGTGAATTTAGGGGAAGTTTTTTATTTTGGGACCAATTGTCTTTTAACGATTTTTTTTAGATTTTCTGACAATTCTGTGTTTATTTTCCTTTCTAATCTTGGTCTGTTGGGGAAAATTTTCATTTTTGAGATCAAATGTCTTTTAATGATTTTTTTTATTCTTAAGGATTCGTCTCGCGTTATTTCTTGGACCACAAATAATCTTGCCCCATCATCTAGTGCTGCTGTAAAAAATTCTGTTGGGATAAACGTTGCTCATCATTCTCCAAAGTCTTGTCCTCATCGTCGCCAATAAAAAGGATATATACAATCTTCTCTATATATGTTAAAGTTTTTTTTGTTTTTTGACTATTTCCGTTTTTTTATTGTTACTACAATTACACAAAAATATTTTATAAAAAATGCGTGTATTTAAGCTGGTTTTAGGGGTACACCCAACGTATTGCGAGGCCAACGTCCCGCAGAGCTATAGCTTTGTTCAAAATGGTCGAATCATGGACGCCCTGATATGGTTCGATTTAGATCGTCGAGATGCATCGAACCATACCAATGCGCCACTGATTCGACTATTTTGAAAGAAGTTATAGCTCTGCGGTACGTTGGCCTGCTCCCGTTTTTTAAGTATTTCCTCTAGAATAATTTTTCTGAAAAATTTTCCCTAGGAAAAAAATTTTTTTGCTTTACTTTTTAAAGGGCAATTATATCTCTTATTTATTCCAACCTCTTTTTTTGTTTTTTTTTCTTTTTTTAAGTAAGAAAAGTTGAGATTAGAATTTAACGAAATTAAGTCGACATTAGGATAGATTTTTTTATCGTTAATTCCTTTAATGTTTTGGAGAGTTTGGACGTTGAAAAGGGAAGGGTATAGACTAGAATTTTTTTTGAATTCTTTTTAAATTTGAGTTTCCTTGTGACTAGAGATTAGACTTCTTGTAAACCTTCCAAACTAATCAATCGATGATCGGTACCAAATCCACTTTTCCTTATACTCAACCAATCCAAAGGGTTGAAACTTTGGCTGGCCATAACTCGGCCCAAAGTCGTTTTGCAAGAAAACGGATAACCTATCTAATAGTAAGTCGGGGGTCCTCTATCGAATGGTACCAAAAAAACTAAATTGTGGTGACAGTAACATATGGTTCCTAGTTAGGAAATAAAAAGTTGTGGGGCTTTAAAGTCAACAATCTCCTTCATCTAGGTTGAAATTTCCCTAGATATCTATCTCAAATTTGGATATATCCTCGAGTCTCTAGTTTTACAAGGAAATCCTTTTTTATTCAAAAAAATTTTTTAAAGGTTTCTAGTCTATAACCTTTGGCTAGTTCATTCTCTCAACCCGTCTACTATTTACATTAAATTTTAAAAAAGCCAGTGAGAGACTTTCTTTCATAACTTTAATTATATTATTCCCTCTACATTTATCCAAAATTTTGGAAAATAAAGAAAATTTTTTTGAAAAAATTTTTTTTAATTTTTCGTTTGTTTTTATCTTAAATATTTAATTATTTTTTTAATTAAAAATTTTTTTTTTCAATTTTTGTTTAAGAAAATAGTAGTAAAATGAACAATAATAGCATAGGAGATGAAGCTTTGGAAGAAGCCCAAAAGCAAACAAAATCTGGAATTGCTTGTGATGGTATTCGACAACAAGTTAAACTGTGTCTTCAAGAATCTGATTGTATACAGGTTTTGAATTTATTATTATTTTTTTAATTGTTTTGTAGGTGTGGGGTTGTGATTAGTTATGGAATTAAGTGGTGGGTGGAGAAGTTTTAGTGAACTGCTAGTTTTGGCTCTTGTAAGAAGATTTTTGGCTACCCAAATTTTTGTATTTTTCCCTATTTTAATCAAAATTTTTATTTTATTCTTTGCAAGAGAATGAAATCGTTGCTCTTTTAATAAAAGACCCTTGTTAAGGGTGAAAAAGACATTATTATTAACGGCAACACATCCTAAAGTCATTTTGCAAACAAGAGAATGTCGTTGCTCTCTTTTTAACAAATGACCCTTGTTAAGGGTGAAAAAGGACTGAAAAAAATATAACATATCCCCTAGTCATTTTTCAAGAAAACGGATACACACTTTACAATAGGAAGTCTAGGGGGAGGGGGTCCTCTATCGAATGGTCACTTAACTATCAAAAAAATTCAGTAAATGATGTTCCTTACAATTAGAAAAATTCTTTTTGGCTTTTCAAATGTTTTCCTAAAATTTATTTCAACCAAAATTTTTTTCCTAGATAAAAATGAAGAGAGCGCGTGAATGTGTAGAGGATAATGACCTTCCAGCAAATGTTTGTTTTTTTTTAATTAATTTTTTTAATTTTTAATTTAAGTGTCAACAATTATTGTATATTTTGCATGAATGTAGACGCAATTCAATTGATCCTAGAGCCCGTTTTAGAGGAAGAAGAGGGGATATGTAGACAAAATGTGATTGAGGAGGGTATATTTTTTGTTTAGAAAAAATTTTAATTTTTTTTTAATTTTTTGAAAAATAAAAAAATTTTTTTTAAAATATTTTTGGGTCTTTTAGGACATTTTTTAGGACTTGCAGGCATTTTTAAAAATACTATGTAAAAACAAAATTATTCGAAAAAATCAAAAAAAAATTAATTTTTGTTAAAAATATTTTTCGATTTTGGCTTTTTTTTATTTTTTTAGTAAATTCAAAATGAGTAATTCGAATATTATTAAACTATTGTTTAAATTTTTTTTTCTAAGAATTAACCAAAAAATTAATTTTAAAAATAATTACTAATTTTATTTATTCCTTTTTAACTCCCCCTCTCTTTTATTTAAACCTACCAATTTTTAAAAAAGCAACTGTTAAAATTTTTTTTAAATTTAATAAAACTATAATTTAAATTTAAAAATAAAGGTAATAATTATTTCTATAAAATTATTTAATTTATACATTTTTTTGTTTTTTTTTCTTTTTAAAATTTTTGTTTAATTGATTGTATGTTCAAAAGTTCCAAAAAGATTAATTACTAATTAAGTAGTTTCCTTTTAATTTAGTTATGTTGTGGTAGTGGCTGAAGGGATAGTGTTTCTGGCTGTCTAACTAGGAGGTGTTGGGTTCGATACCGTTTGAGTCCTAAACTTTTTCTAATTGATAAATAGTTTTGTTTTGGTAAATTTCTTTGTTGTTTTGAATATACTAAAGAAAATAAATTTTTTTTTTGAAAATTTTATTTTGTTAAAAAATAATTGTGCAGATGCACATTTTATTACAAAAAAACTCCAAAAACAAACATCAATAAAACATACAAATTATGGAAAAAAAATTTTTTTTTAATTTTTAATAATAGATTTTATATTTTATTTTTAGCTTTTTTATTTTCTTTTGTTTAAAAAATCAAATTTTGTATAATTTTGCAAAAGAAATATATAACAGTAATTTAATTAAAAAAATTTTTTTTCAGTTAAAAATAGAAGGTTTTAAATTAATTAAAATACAAAATTAAAAAAAAAATTTTTTATGTGTAGACAGTTTAGCATAAAATATAAAATTAAAAAATAATTTCTAGTAAATATTTTTATGTTTATTTCCTCATTTTTTTTTTATTTTTTCCAATTTTAGTAAAAATTATATTATTAAAATACTTGGAAATTGTAAATTTATTTATTTTTGTAATTATAAGTTAGAAAAAAGACTAAAAATTTAATTTTGGCAACAAAAATTTTTTTAAATATAAAAAATTATTTTTTAATATTTTAGTCATTTTTCGACAAATTTTTTTATTTTTATTTTCTTCTATTTTTTTTTTAATTTTTAAAAATGTTTTTTTTAATGTCCGTAGTTGCCTTTCTTTAATTTTCTAAGATTTTACAATCTTGTATTTACCATTCCTATTTAATCAAGGCAGGATCATAACGAGATTTAAATTACTGGTTACTCGAAAACATTTTTCTACACGAAGCCCGGCTCCAAAAAATTTCGAAAACCCGATTCTGACCTAGTCCCGAATTTTTTTTCTTAACAGTTTCAAAGTTCCCTTTGGATACAGAAAAAAGACATAAACAAAAATTCAATTAAATTTCCATTAGTTTTGAGGTAAAATTAAAAAAAATAATAACCGGAAGGCTTACACCTTGGATGGTCAAAAAATAAAAAAAAATTTTCTTTCCCTTAAAAATTAAAAGAAAATTTTGTAGATGGTATAAACGGAAGGCTAAAAAAAGGATTAAAATATATTGGTGTTTGCCCTTTTCTAGTAAATATTTAGACTTTAAAAAAATATTTTTTTTTAATTTCAAAATCCTCTTTTAAAAATTCTTTCCATTCCTTTTTATCCTTCACACTCATCTAGACTTCAATAAAAAATTTAAAAAAAAATTTTTTTTTTTGCAATTTTGCACTTTCTTCTAAAGTTACTGCTTACATAAAAGCGTGATTAATTTTTGTTTTTAATAATTAAAAGGAATTTTTTTTGTTCCAAAAATATTTGTGACCTTTTTTAAATTTATAATGACCATAAAAATAAATTTAGAAATTTGGGAAAAGGAATTTTTGGGAGAAGAAGAGGGAAAGGAAAGGAAAGGTCTCCCAAGATACCAGGGGTGTGCCGAAACAGATTTTAAAAAGCGAAACACGAAAGACGAAAAGGCGAAAGTCATTTTAAAAAGCGAAAGACGAAAGGCGAAAGACGAAACACCAAAAAAGACGAAAATAAGGCGAAAGACGAAAGACGAAACGGCACACCCCTGCAAGATACCGCAGAGCCGATAAAGAGTTCCTTCCATCTAGTAGTTCCCTCCCGTTTCTTCTGTTTCAGAGTAAATTTCTTCTTCCCATCCTTCTGTTTCCGTTCTTCGTGAAATTTCGTTTTTTTGGCTCCTCTACTTCCGTCCTTGACTTTTGTTTATTCTTCTGCCGTGGGTCTTAAACTTTAAGAATGCTGAAGGCCCCATTAGAGAGGGTTTGCTTAGAGAGCCTTAGAGAGGTTTGACTCTCTCTCTGACTTTAACTAAATAAAAAATAATCTCCAACTTTATGGGAATAAAAAAACTGTTGAAAACCCCCTAAAGTTTTGGTGCTGTCCTCTCCTCCTTTTCTTTTTATCTGATCTTTTTTAGATTAAAATTTTTATTTTTTTTTTTTTTGTATTTTGTTTAATGGACAAAAAAAGTCTTGAAAAAAAATTATTTTTGGATGTAGGAGAGGAAGGAAAAATTTTTTTTTTAAATTTTCTCTCACGAAAATGCCGAGAGAACAATAATTAATTTTTTTTTTTAAATGTCAAAAATAAAAAAAAGTTTCCATTAAATTAACTTAAAAATTAAAAAAAATATTTTTTTTAATTTTAAAAAAGAAACTTTTTTCAACATTTTTAGTCTTTTATAATTTTTGGTTTGTTTGGGTACATAAATGATGTGAGAAGGAAATTTTTCTTTGTTTAATTTTAAACAAAGAAAATAAAAAAATCAGAATTTAATTCTTTTGTTTTGTTCAAATTAAATTCTGATTTTTTCCTAATTAATTTTTAAAATCAGAATTTAATATAAACATTTAGTTAATAAAAAATCAGAATTTTAGTTCAACAAAAATCAGAATTTAATATAAACAAAATTTAAAAAAACCAGAATTAAAGGTCGTCTATAAAGTCTTTCCAAAAATCAGAATTTAATTTAAACATTTATTTAATTCAAAAGAAATCAGAATTTAATTTGAACAAAACAAAAAAACAGAATTAGTACATCTTTAAATTAAAACAAAAAAAAACATTTTTGTATTAATTAATTAAGTACTAAAAAAGCACTTTCGTTACTAAGCAAAAATTATTTTTAAATAATAAAATAATAATATTATTAAAGTGCGTCGCCAAGCAATATTTAAAAAAAATCTTTATTTTAAAATAATAATTGTTTCTAAAATATTTTAAGCCTTCCGCTTTTGTTTTTGTTCCTTAAAACCAGAATTTAATAAAAACAATTAATTTAAACATTATTTTAAAGGACCAGAATTTAATTTAAAAAATCAGAATTTAATTTGAACATAATAAAACCAGAACTTAAAATTGTTTAATAAGCCTCCCAATTTTATTGTTTTCTAAAATCAGAATTTATTATCAACATTTAATTTAAAAAACCAGAACTAATTTCAAACATACTATTATAAATCTAGAAAAATCAGAATTTAATTCGAACATAATAAAACCAGAATTAAAAACAGAATATTAAGCCTAACACTTTTATTATTTCTTAAAATCAGAATTTAATATAAACATGTTTTTATCCCTTTTCTAATTTAGTTAAAACAAACATTTCCTCTTTTTACGTAAACATTATTTAATTTGCTTACTCATTTAAAAACAAACTACTAAAAATAATTTATTAAAAATCGGGGTCAAAAAATCTCAAAAAATTTTTTTTTATAAAATTAGAATTAAGCCAAACCTTTAAATTTATTTTTATATTTTAATTAGGAAAATTTTAACGGCCAAAAAAATTTTTTCTACGTCAAGGGAAGGTCAAGAAAAATTTTTTAAATTAAATTTTATTAAATAAATTGTATTATAAAAGACAAAATCTAAAAATACTCTTAACTAATTGTCTGATATTTAAACTTAAATATATATTTAATTAAATTTATATGCAAGTATAAAGACCAACCGGAAAGGAGGTTAAAAAAGGTGTGGGTAAAATTAAATGTTTGTTTGAAGGTGAGAAAAATTCTGGTTTTTTCATTGTTTGAGAACATTTTAACTTATAATTTAATTCTGGGTTAATTAAGAAATCAGAATTTAATTTAAAAAAAATAATCAGAATTGTTTCAACAAAATCAGAAATTTAATTCAGTCAGAAATCAGAATTTTAATTAAACATAAAACCAGAATCTTAATTTAAACAAAAATCAGAAATTAATCTAAACAGAAATCAGAATTCATTATAAACAAAAAAACCAGAATTTAATTCAAACAAAACCAGAATTTAATTCAAACAAAGAAATATCAGAATTTTAACTCAACATAAAAAATCAGAATTTTATTTGAACACAAACAAAACAAAATTCCCTAGCAATTTTTACTTATTTTAATTTAGCGCCGTCTAAACATTAACGCGCGCCTAAATGTCCAGGTTAAATTCATTCAAAATATTCAAGCAAATTTTAAAGAAAAAATAAAAATTTGCAAAATTTATTATTGTTTTCTATAATTAAAATTTTTTTGACGTTTTTAATCATTGGTGGTTACCTAATTTTAATTGTTTTTATTTAATTTTTTTTTTAATTTCCAAAATTAAATTTGAAATAATTAAATTTAATTATAGAAAAATAAAATTTAAAAATAAAAACAAACAAACAATTAAGTAGACGTTAAAAAAATTTAATTATTAGTTTTTTTGAACATTTGATTCAAAAAGTTGGAAATAAATTTTATTAAGGAAGAACAAAGAAAATCAGAATTTAATTTAAATACGTAAATCCTAATAAACATAAAAAGTAAGCAAAAAAAGGTGAAAAAAATCAGAATTTATTTTAAACAAGAAAATATCAGAATTTAACATAAACAAAGAAATATCAGAATACAATTTGAACAAATAAAATATCAGAATTTATTATAAACAAAGAATATCAGAATTTTATTTAAACAAATATCAGAATTTAATATGAACAAAAACACTCAGAATTTTATTCGAACAAAAAAATCAGAACTCATTATAAACAAAAATATCAGAATTTAATATGAACATAAAATACCAGAATTTAATTTAAACCGAACAAACAGAATTTAATCAGAATTTAATATAAACACAACACCTTGTTCACGTGAAAACCATTTGAAAAACTTTTAAGCGGCACTTTCTTTTTATTTAAATTTTTTCTCTTCAATTATTTTATTAATTTAATTTTTTTAAAATTATATAGCTTCTTTATACTTTTTTTAAATTTAATTAATAATCTTTGAAAAAAAATTTTTTTTAATTAGGGGAGAAGACAATGGGAAAAATTAATTTTTAATTAATTAAAAGGGGGGAGGAAGTCTTTAAGGGAGGGGGGGGGGCAGAAGGAAGTCTTTACATTAAAAAAAAATTTTTTTTTTTAATTTTTAATTTTTTCCCCACTCATTCCTCTTTTAATTAACTAATTTTATTAATTTCCCCCTCATTTTAATTTTTTACCTAATTAATTTTTTTTATTCTTTTTTAAAAGCTAATCCCTTTTTTCTTCTTTAATTACCCTTCAAAAAAGTGCTTTTTTGCTTTAAAAATTAAAAAAAAATTTTTTTTATTTTTCAATTTTTTTAATAAAAAAATAATTGTTTTCCGTTGGAAAATTAATTATTTTTTTAATTAATTGCAAAGAGAAAAAATTAAAAAAAATAAAAAAAATTAAACTAAAAAAGAGAAGAAGCACCTTTAAATTCCTGCAATTTAATAAATAAATTAAATAAAAAAAATTTTTTTTTGAAGTGATGGAATTGAATTAATTAAATATTAAAATAAAATAAAAAAGCACGAGAGAATAATTAAAAAAGGAAATAATTTAAAAAAATATTTTAGAGAAATTTTTTGGGATTAAATGTCCTCTTACTAATATTCAAGAAAAAAATATTTTATGGGTATAGACGAAACAAGGGGGAAATACTCTAAATTTCGTTTTTGAAAAATTATTTTTTGAAATTACACGAAATTTCGTCTTTGTAATAAACGAAATTTCGCTTTTTAAAATACCCGAAATTCTATCATAATTAATTTCGGATTTTGTTTTTTAGACGGAACTAGGAGGAAAATACACGAAACTTCGACTTCCAAAAACACGAAATTTCGCCTTTTAAAATACCCGAAATTTAATCATGATTAATTTCGGATTTTATTTTTAAGACGAAATTTTGCTTTTTTTAGAAATTTCTCCTGGCCTGAACTTTTAATTTTATAAATTTCGTCCAACACGAAATTTCGTCTTTTTTAATTTTCTTATATTTTGGAGGGTTTTTTGTTCAAAAATCTTTTTTTGTGCTTTTCTCCCAAAATTAATTTTTTTATTGACGTTACTGAATGTTTGGAATAATTTAATGTCCAAATTTAAATTTAAAAAAGAAAAAAAATTCCAATCTTCTTCATCCCTTCTTTCCTTCTATTGTCCACCAAAATTCTTTTAAAAAATATTTTTATTTTTTTAATTCCCAAAAATAATTTTTAAAAAAATATTTTTTTAATTACGTAAATGACCCGTTAAAAATTTTTTCTAAAATAATAATTAAATTATATAAATAGGTAAACAAAAATTCTTTTCATTTTTCCCCTTCTCTTCATGCAATTTTTAAAAAAATTTCGAGAGAATTTCCGGACAATCAATCATCTTTTTAAAAAAAATTTTTTTCTGTTGTTTGTACCCTCAGGCAATTTTCGTTTAAAACAACAATTGCCCTCCCTCCCTCACTTTTCCTCCTTTTTTTATTTTTAAATTTTGGGGAAGAGGGAAGGAAGAAGCATTTTTAGGGGTTGGGGAAGAGGGATGTTTGGGCGCTGACTGATCGAGAGTTTAAAAATATTTAAAAAAGTGATTTAAAATTATGAAATTTTGAAAAGAATTCTTTGATGCTGTTATTTAATCTAATAAAAAATTAAAAAAATTTTTATTAAGTATTTTGAAATTTTTTGAAAAATTTTTTTAATCGTTTGAAAATTTTTTTGAAAATTTTGGAAATTTTTTTAACTTCTTGCAGTTTTTCAGTCATAACTTTCTTAATATTTGCCCAAAAATTCTGAAATTTTTACCAGACCTGTTTAACACTCTTATTTATATTTCTGCAAAATTTCATAAATTTAGGGCCTCCCAGTTTTGAAATATTTAAGCCCGCGCCCAAACATTTTCTGCGCCTAAATGTCTCTACCCCTTATTTATTAGAGAACAAAAGAAAAAGGTAAAAAGAGAGACGACTTTTTTCTTTTTTTTTGAATTTTTTTTCTTTTTTTTTCAGCTTCTTTTTTTCAATTATTATTATAAAATCCCGCCCCATTTTTTTTCTTGTCCCTTGTTTGGAAGAGAAGAGGGGCGGAGGCTTCTTTCCACACACACCTTTAAATTCCTTTGTCGCCGCGTGCATTTTCTCAAAGTAATTTGCCACTATAAAGTCCGAAGGAATTTCCTGACCGCTTCTCACATTTGTTAAAACAACAGCTTAAACACAGCTTTTATTCCTCAACTTTTAATTAAAAAAATTTTTTTTTCTCCTTCAAAAATGATTCATATTTTAATTTCTGTTGATGATGCTGCACAATTTGGACGTTCTCCAAGACGCTTTGCTAATTTAAGGCAAAGTATGGCATCTACGGGATTAAAACAGACACCTATAATTTCGACTAAACCAGTAAAACAATGTACATCGTCTAATTCGGATTCTGGAAAGTCTGAAAAAAACAACAAATAATTATTAAATTTTTGTTTATGGTGTGTTTTTGAATCTGAAATTTTAAATAAAAAATAAATTCTCTTGAATCTCCTTCCTTTAAGGCTCTGGGATAAATGGGGGTTAATATATAGGGATATATAGGGATATCAAGAGGGATAACTCTAAGCTAGGGACATCTTACAGACAAGGGATAAGAAAGAGGTTAAGATATGTTTCGAGGTAAATGCCTTGAAAATAAAAATAATCTTAAAAAATTAACAAAAAATTCTACATAATATATAATTTTTTATTTTTCAGAAATTTCCAAACAACCATAAAAACCTCATATCTTCAAAAACACTGGTGCTTCTTTCAAACTTAATTATTAAAAACAAGATAGACATATAAAAACAACAAAAACAACTTTATTTTCCTTTTTCTCTACCATCAAAACATTTCAAAAACATTTGTTTGTGTGCAATATTAAAAACTTGAGAAAAACAAAAACCAGAATAAAATCTAAACAACAAAAAGAAAAATCAGAATAAAATCTGAACAACAACAAAAACATGGGAAAAGTGTAAAAACAAAACAGAGTGCAACATCAGAAAAGAGAGAAAATAAACTTGAAAACAAACTTGGAAAAGAAAAAAAAGAAGAGAGAGGAAATAAAGGAAACAAAAACATTCGTTTTTCTAGTCATTTTTATTTAAACTTTTCTAGTCACATATATTTTCGGCTTTTTTCTCCTTTTATTTTATTTAACTCAAAAATGAGCTATTATTATTATTATTTGTTTTAACAATTGAATCTCAATATTTTCCTTTTAATTATTTTTGTTTTTTTTCAAATTCTTTCAGAAAATTCCACTATTTTTGTTTTCTCTTTCTCTGTCTTCCATTACACTCTTTACACAATGTTTTTCTCTTAAATTGTTTTCTCTTAAAAATATCAAAATTTCTTTAAAAAAATTTTTTTCTGTTGTAATATTTTTTATCTTAAATATTTTATTTGTTCTAAATATTAAAAATAAAAATTTAGAAAAATTTTGTTAAAATTTAATTTTTTCTTAGTTAGACTAAAAGACTATTAGACTCAAACATTTTAAAAACATGTTTATATGTTTTTAGGAAAAGTTTTGTTTTTATAGGTGTTTTTAAGTTTATTAAATGTTTAGAAACAAGTTTTATCTTAAAAACAAGTTTATTTAAAACAGGTTTTGTATTTCAAAACAAGTTTTCTCCAACAAAACAAGTTTTATTTTAGCAAAACATGTTTTAATCTAACTAACTAACAAAACAAAGTTGTATATTTTCAACACTGTTTCTCTTCTATTTTCTTTTCTGCCTCTTATTTTTCGGGATCTCTAGATAATTTTACTTCCTCGTTTATATAGCAATTTAATTTATGCAAGTGTTATTAAGTAGGAAATAAATATGTATTTTGTTTAAATATTTTTTTATTTTTTTTATAAAAGGACAGGAAGCACTTTTAATTTAAAAAAATGTCTGTCTCTATAGAGTTGATATTTATTTGCTATTTTTTATTTTTTAAAGTTTAAAAATTATTTTTTTGCCTAAATTTTTTGCCCAGGAATTAAATTTATTGGGTGATAATTCTGAAAATTTTTTTAAATAAATTAAGAAAATAATAAAAAATCTGAAATAAATTTTTTAAATATTTTTTTCCTAATTTTATAGTTAAAATACTTTAGAAAAAAAATTTTTTTTGATAAATTAATGTTTCTTTTTTCTATGGGTAAATAAAAAATAATTTTTTTTTGACATTAAATTTTTAAAAAAATTTCAAAAAAAAAAAATTTTCTAAGAAATTCCACCTTCTCTTTTTATTGTTCTCACGATTATTTTATTTATTTTTTATTTAAAAAATTATTAAAAAAAAATAAACCACAAAACCCATGTGAATTAAACAAGGAGAGATAAACCAAAGTTCGAAAAATTTGTTTTTTTTTTTTAATTTTAAATATTCAGCAGTAAACAAAAAAATTATTTTTAAGTACATTAAAATTGCAAGTACTTAGCTACTTCTACAGTGGAAGCTGATCTTTAATTAATTTTACTTTAAAAAAAATTTTTCAAATTTTTTTTAAAAATAATCCTTTTTGTGTTAATAATCCTTTAATGGGGGAATTGAAATATCTATAAACAATAAAAAAATTCTTTTTATTTATAAATTGACATCATTTCAACACAAAAATATTTTCAAAAATTAAATTTAAAAATTACAGTCAGATCTTGCTTTTAAATTTTTTTATTTGGTTAGGAATTAGATGGAAGGATGGAGGGAGGGGGGAAGTGCCTAAATGAGATCCCTCTTACGTATTTTATTTCTGATTTTTTATTTGGTGAGAGAGGCCGAGGCTTTAGCCCGTCTCTGGAATTAGCCAGTCTGGAATTAGTCAGTCTATTCTGTTAGTCAGTCAGTCTCAGCCTTTGCGCTTCAGCAACTATTCTTATCCCTATTGTTCACCTTTATCGTAGATAAAACACAATTGTTAGATTCTGTCTTTGTTCTGTTATTCCTAGGACACACCGCAGTCAAGGACATAACAATTACGACAACTCCAAAGCCTTTCTAAAACTCTCACTCTTGAATACCCTTGGATTTTCTTGGAGACCCTTGGACTTTCTTGGAGTCTTGGAGATATTACCGTATAAAAAAATTTTCTTTAAAAAAAATCAGAACGCCAAAGAAAAACGTGTTTTCGATATTTTTAATCCTTTAACAAGTTCAAAGACCAAAAACAAACAAAACAAAAGGATTTTGAAAGAATGAAAAGAATTTATAGTTTAATTACTACATAAAAATAGTTGAGAATCAATCACTTTTTTGCTTTTTTAGAGAGAATTTGTGGAAAAATTTTTTTGCAAAAAAAATATTATTTGTATTTTTCTCTCTAGTTTGTGTTTTTAAAAACAAAAGAAAATATTTTTGGATATTTATTTTTCTCAAAATAAATTTTTCGTTGTTTTGAAATTTTTATTTTTAGAAAATTCATTAAATTCTTTTAATTAATGAGAAAAAAAATTTTTTGGGGAAAATTAAAGATAAATGGCAAAATACTTTGAATATTTTGATTTTAAGGAATTTGCCCTAAAAAATTCAAAAAATTTATAAAAATTGAGGGAATGAGGGAAATTCTTTTCTAATTAATTTATAAAGTCAAAAAACCCTCAAAAAGCAGCCCTTTCCCCGCAAATTTTCCGAATATTTTGAAAATTAAAAATAGATGACAAAATATCCCAATTATTTTTTTTTGTAAATAAAAAGAATTCTTTGGGAGTTGAGAGAACCTTTGGGTAAAAAATGTGTTGAGAGAACCTTTGGGCTCTTCTCTAAAAACCCTTTCAAGCCTCTTATATTTAAAACAATTGCCACAGATTTTTTTATTAAAAGAAAAGGACAAAATAAATTATTTTATAAAGGGTAATCACAATAGATCGACACCAAGAGGGTTGATTACTAGTTAAGAGTTTAATGATTTGAGAGTTTAAATGATTGGGAAGACTTGTAAGGATTTTGAAGGAGATCGATCATTTTTGTTAGTAGAGACATGGAAATAGAGGATAACTCGAACAAAACACCGAGCTTGATAACGAAAATTTTCGTTCGAGATTATTGTTTTCGGCCCGATCTTCTAGTTGTTTAGTAGGAGGGTTGGTGGATTCTACAAAATATTATCCTAGGATATCCAGATCTTGATCCGAAATTTCTATTTAATTTCGGATTGTCTGGTTATCTTTTGTTTTTGAGAGTCAAAAGTCTGAAATTTGTCCTCTATTAAGCATGTTAGTTGATCTTTGGGGATTTGTCTTCTTTCGAGGTATCCTTAATTAATTTTAAATGATACTATTGAGTGACGTAAAAATTCTTTAAAGACTAGTAATATTTGGAGGGCAAAGATAAACCCCAAAAATAATTTAAAGTCAGTCTATATTTAATTTTAAAATATTTTTACGTCATTTTGGAGGTCTTCTTCTAAATATTAAAAATAATTTTAAAGAATTTTAGATAGGTCATTTGGTCACAGAATTTAAAACAAAAAGGGGCTTCTTTTACCTCTTATTTGACGTAATTGTTAAAACCAGAAACGTTCTACACGTGTTTTAATAAATAAAAGAAGTGATTTTGGAGGTCTTCTTTTCTAATTTAGAAGTACTTTTAAAGAAAAGAAAGATCAAAAAATAAAAAAATTTGCAAAAATTATTTTTAGAAAAAAAGTTTATTTTGCTTAATATACAAAATTTAATTTATTTTATTTTATGTAAATAAAGTTGCAAAAAACCGAAATTTAGTAGATTTATTTTTAATTCGTTGAATTTTTGGACTGGGGGGTTTACGTGTGACCCCTTTTAAGATCTTGTTGGAACAGGAATATATACCCCTCAGGGTCCAGCTGAGTGAATATAGAGAGGAGGTGATTTGGAGAGTTTTAGTACATTCAATCGCCCCCAACATTTAATTAAAATTTAAGAATTATCGAGACACTGTAAATTATCTTTTTTGTATTCTTTGTTAGGAAAAACAAGTAAATTTTTCCATTCATTTCGCTGTAAATTTGCCAAAATCGCCATAAAAAGACGTCCCTCTCCTTTCCAATTTACCCCCAAGTCTTTAACAATTAATTGTGACGAAACACAAATAAAACAAGTTTGTGGCAAAATGTCGAATTGGCAAAATGTCTAGTTGGCAAAATGTCTAGTTGGTAAAGTGTCAAAAATCAAATTTTGTATACTGTAATTTTTTGAAAATTTTTTGTTTTCTTAACTTTTAAAAAATTTTTCAAGTTAATTTAGATTAAATTAAAATGGGTACAAGAGAAAGACGATCAGGATTGTTTGGACATGCAAAATATTCAGACACAATTATTCGGAATATTCCAGAATCTGTTCGGAAAGCTGTGAGTTTTCTTTGAAATTTTTCAGAAAATTTTTTTTCTTTTTAAGGTTAGGGAAGATATTGCTGCAATTGTTGATCCTTTATTGGCAAATACTAGAGCTATTCCTGGAAGGAAACGTTCCCATCGCGATTTGACTAATGGGGAGAAGGCGCAGCCTCATCAAAATGAGGTTGGTTTAACCCAAAAGATCACCCCTAGAGAGGAAGAGAAATAGTGTGGGAAAATGAGAGAGACATTGAATTTGGTAGAGAATGACCTTTTTTCATTCATTTTTTGTGTGTTTTGTGGTTCCGCGTGTTATGTTAAATTAGGAAAAGGAGGCGGCAAAAACACGCCTTTTTCGGCTGTCTACTCCGCCTTTTTTCGTTGTTTTATTTTCTGGGTATTCTTTAAAGTCAGACAAAATGAGAGAGAGTATGGGGTTTTAAGAGAGACAAAATCAGAACACAAAAATATGGAAATTTTTTTGATGCCTCTTTAAAAGAATTATTTTTTGAAAGGAATGGAATGAAAAAATTTAGAAAATTAATTTTTATTTTACTTTAAAGGCTCAAAACTATCAAAAGTTGAGAGAAGATATTGTTGCTGTGATAGATCCGATGATGGCAAATAATACTCTTTCAACTCCTACAATGAAAAGGCCGCACTTGGAGAATGGAAATAATGTAAATTTGAATTTATTTTTAAATTTTTGTTCAGCCTTGTTCTGAAATTTAAAGAAGAATTTTTTTTCAATTTCTCATGGTTATTTAGTTAATATTTATGTGGGTATACTTTATTTGCTAGTCTGTATAACCAATTTTTTATTGAAGGGTCTCATTAGTAGTGATGGTTAAGTGGTAAGATCCCTGAATTTCGATGTATCTGGTTGAGGTTCGAATCCGTCCGGGTCAATTCGTCTCTTTTTGTTAATTTTTTCAGTTAATTTTCTTCCTTGTCATTGCTAGAGTTGCCTCTTACATTAAAAAAATTTTTTAACCCAATTTTTGACCTTGAAAATATAATATTTTTTCTAAGTTCAATCAACAGCAAAATCACAACTTTGCCAACACCAAAAATTTAAATCTCAAAAAAATTGCCGCAAAAATTCAAGACTCTCATCCTACAATAACTCTTCGTTCGGATGAGCCTAGAACACTTTCTGATGCAACTTTTTCTCTTGTTAAGAATGCGCTGTCGGTAGTGAAAGAAAAATCTGCTCATCAAACGAGACTTGTAAATTAATTTTTTGAGTTTTAAAAATATTTTTAGAGTCCATTTCGTACACTTTCTGATCAAACAATGCATTTGGGAGAGACAAAAAATGAGGACAAGGACAAAACTTTGCAAGATAGTTTTCAATATTTGGAGGAATCGCCGACAGCAGATATGGAGGTTTTCTTTGGATTATTAGGAGGGTCTTGAAATGTCAAAACATTGAAATGCCAAACCCCTTAAGGCTTGGGAATATAAACCTGTCGAAATAACACTGAAATGTCAAACTTCCCCATAAAGCTGCCGAAAATGCCAACATTTTGCTTCAAAAACGACGAGCAGAGCTTATAAGTCGTACCAAAATTCGTACTCGTACTTTGGTACGAAATACGAGACGAGCAAAAAAATAGGCTGGTACGAAGTAAGAGGCCAAAATTAGGGGTGGTAGGAAGTACGAGTACGAGCAAAATTGAAATTTATAAACACTGACAACGAGTGTTGATTTTGTCAGCTTTCGGTGAGTTTGGCATTTCATTTTTTGGCATTCGATGTTTTGGCATTACAATTTCCTACCTTTTTTAAAATTTAAGATAAAAAAAAATTTTTTTCAGTTAAGTCTAGGAGAATGTTCTTCATATCCTTCGTATCCTCCATTAGAAACAACTTTTCGACAACCTGTTCAATGTTCTTCATTTTCTCCAATACAAGAAGATTATGATAATAATTTTGATGTTTACAATAGATTTGATGAGGAAAATTTTGATGTTCTTGCTGGTATATTTTTTTGAATTTTTTTAAAATTTAATTGGAAAATATACGGGTGAAATGAAAATATTTTAAAAGGAAAAAGTTTGGGGGAATTAACGCGAATTTTGACTATAGCCATTTATGCGTATCCGGATGTACATGGGGGGTTTTATTCTTAATTTGTCGGGGAAGCGTCATGGTGTTTTCATTTTGGCATGATTCGACTTATCTCGAAGAAGTGTTTAATGATGCCAAAAATAATGCTGTCTGATTTTCCTTTATTTTTAAAAAAGGGTCGAGACAAACATGGGGCCAAATGTCCTTCTTATCCTAAAAAGTGGGAATTTATTTTTCGTTTTTTTTCTCGACGAGACGTGTCTAACGATGCCAGAAATAATGCTGTCGGATTTTTCTTTACTTTTAAAAACGGGTCGGGAAACTTGGGACCAAATGTCCTTTTCCTAAAAAGAGGGATTTTTATTTTTTTTCTTTAAAACTATTTAATGATTTTCTTTGTAATTTCTAAAAAAATATTTTTTAAATCCCTCATTTTTTCCAGGAGAAGATTTAACCCCAGAACAACAACCAGAAAGTAGCAACGGTAATGTTTATCCTTTTAGTTTTTTCTGAGAAATTTTTTTAATCTTTAAATATTTTTTTTCCTGTTAAAATTTCCTTCCCGTTCTCATGTGTTTTTTCTTGTGATCTTTTTTTGTTTATTATTTATTGTGCCATTTTGTCATATTTTGAATATAAATTTTTAAATTTATTTTTAAATTGATTATAAAATGTTAAATTTTTCATAATTATTACTTTTTAATTATTTTTAAGATCGTTCAAAAATAAATTTTGTTGGGGAGAAGCGGGGCGCGAATAATTGGGAGGAATTCTTTCCTTTTTTTGTCCTTTTGTCTGTTGAGGTTTCTTTATTTTTTTTAAGACTTGGGACCAAATGTCCTTCTTTGAGGGGGGTCTACTTGGGCTTTTAGAACTACCAAAGGTTGGAATTAGTGATAAAACAATTGAAATATTCCCTCCGAATTCTGATTCGATTTTTGCATTTTTTCCTAACTCTAGTTATAGTTTTGGATTAATTCAAATAACTGGGTACACTAGAAAAGGAAGAACCTTTCTCAATTTTTTGAAAGAATTCCTTTTTTGGAATCGATGCCAAAAAAAATTTTTTTTTAATTTTTTTTTTCAGATTTAATAAATTGGTTAATTTAATTTATTCAAGACAATAAAAATGCCGAGAATTCGAGTATGTAATTTTTCTAGTTTAAAATTAAAAAAATTTAATTTTTTAGATTACTCCATTAGGTGCTGGCCAAGATGTTGGAAGAAGTTGTATTTTAGTTACTATTGGAGGGAAAAATATAATGTTGGATTGTGGAATGCATATGGGATTTACTGATGAAAGACGCTTTCCTGATTTTTCTTATATTTGTATGTAAAGGTTTTTTATATATAAAAATATTTTTTGTTTAAATTGAGAGGCTTGGGTATTTAGATTTATATTAAAATTGGGGGGTTTTTGGGAATTTTCGAATTTTTCTGGGATTTTTACCACTTTGGAAGTTCAGCCAGGCCATAATTACTAGTTGGGACACTAAATATTTTTTTTTGGATTTTTGAGTGTTATATGACATTTTTCCCTCTAATATTAAACAGAATTGGAGTATAAATTACCTGGTTTTGTAGATTACACCGTCTGGCAAGGACGTAGCCAGGGGGAATTGACTCCTTAGATACGCCCTTGCCGTCTGGTTCCTTGTGTCATCCCCAAATCTAAATCCTCATTTTTAAACAGCCTCAGGCGATTTAACATCATGTCTTGATTGTGTTATCATCTCACATTTTCATCTTGATCATTGTGGTGCTTTGCCTTATATGACTGAAATGGTTGGATATTCAGGCCCTTTATATATGACATATCCTTCTAAAGCTATTGTGCCTGTACTTTTGGTTGGTTTTTTGTAAATTTTTTAAAAAATTTATTTTCATTAGGAAGACTTTAGAAAAGTGGTTACAGAACATAGAGGTGAAACTTCAAATTTTTTTACTTCACAAATGATTAAGGATTGTATGAAAAAGGTTTTCTTTTGTTAATTAGAAGAGATTAATTTTTAAGTTTTTTGTGGGTAGACTCTGTGGGTAGGCATATATTCGCTCAAATATGGCATCCTCTCATAATTATCTATGGTTTTCTTGGGTTTTTTGGGTCTTTGCCTATTGACGTTTTCTTTTTCGATCTATTACCAGGCCTTTCCTTTCATAAATTTTATTTTCTCTTAAAATAATTTCTTACTCTTAAATTTAATTTTTACAACTTCCTTTAGGTTACAGCAGTAAATTTGCACGAAATTGTTCATGTAGATGACCAACTTAGCATTCAAGCATTTTATGCTGGTCATGTACTTGGTGCTGCTATGTTTTTAGTTAAAGTTGGAAGTGAATCGGTTTTTTAAAAATTTTATCTTTTATTTTTCAATTTTTTAGGTTCTTTATACTGGGGATTTCAATATGACACCCGATAGACATTTGGAAGCAGCCAAAGTCCCTCCAGGTCTTCGTCCAGATATTTTGATAACAGAAACAACTTATGCAACAACTGTTAGAGAATCCAAAAGAGTCAGAGAAAGAGATTTTTTGAATAAAGTACATGAGACAGTTCAAGGTGGAGGAAAGGTTTGAATTTGATTTTTAAAATTTTTAGAAACTTTTTTGGGAGAATTGAAGGGGGAGGGTGTCCAAAGAATTTCTGAAATTTTTTTGGTCTTCTGGGATTTTTGTCAATTCTTGGTTTAATTTTCACTTAAATTATTTTTTAATTTAATTTCTTTTTAAGGTTTTAATCCCCGTTTTTGCCTTAGGCAGAGCTCAAGAATTGTGTATTTTGTTAGATATGTATTGGGAAAGATTGGAATTGAAAGTACCGATATACTTTTCTGCTGGATTGGCTTCTAGAGCGACAGAGGTTTTTTTAATTTTTCGGTTTTAATAAAAAAAAACATTCATTCGACCCAAATATGGGTCGGGTTGAGAAAAAAGTCGGGACGAGTTTTCAAAATTTCTTAGGATCGGGTTTGTGTAAAGGAACGTTTGATAGTGTGTTTCAAGTAACACGATTTATCTTTTATATAATCAATTTTTTCTTAGGGGGTTTACCTGTTTTTTAATTTCTTACTTTTTAGTATTATCGCCTTTTCATAAACTGGACAAACGAAAAAGTTAAACGTACTTTTGTTCATCGAAATATTTTTGATTTTAAACATATTAAACCTTTTCGAATGGAATTTGCTGATATTCCTGGTCCAATGGTTTTATTTTCTACGCCAGGTTTTTTTTTAATTTTGGAATTAAAAAAAAAGTTTTCTTTGAAAGGAATGTTGCATGGTGGTCAATCACTTAAAGTTTTTAAAAAATGGTGTTCTGACGAAAGAAATGCAATTATAATGCCAGGCTATTGTACAGCTGGAACGGTTGGAGCTAAAGTTATTGCTGGGGCTAAAAAATTGGAAATTGATGGAAAAATGGTTTTTTGGGAATTTTTGAAATTTTTTGAAGAAAAATTATTTTTTAAGCATGAAATTAATTTAAAAGTTGAATATATGTCATTCTCTGCCCATGCAGATGCTAAAGGTATAAAACAATTAATTAGAGATGTTGAACCAAATTCTGTTCTTTTTGTTCATGGAGAGGCTCAGAAAATGGATATTCTTAAAGGGGAAGTGGAAAAGGTTGATTTTTTTAATTTAATGGATTTTGGAAATAAGGAAAGGTTTGAATTCGTGATTTAAAGGAATTTTGGAGGGAGAGGGCACGCTATAATAGAGTACCATGTCTCCTTCTCCATTTAATTTTTATTTCCTATAATGGAATTTCTTATAATAAGATGACCTCCCTTTTATTAGAATGCTTTTTTGTAAGGTGATTAAAGAGTCGGATGATTGGGCGTTCAATTAAAAAAAATAAGGGTCAGTTTCTGCTTTGGCATATAACTTATTAGGGGAAGTATTGCTTTGCTTTCTGATATCATTCAACTATTAATACCATTAAATGGCGATATTTGACTTTGCCTTATCAATGAAGGCAATAAGTTGAAAGGGAAAAGCTTGAAAACTGCTCTTAATGTTTTAATCTCCTTTAGAAATTGAATGAAATTTTTTTTAATTGTTTTTTATTTAAAGGAATTTGGACTTAACGTATATAAACCAGCTAACGGAGAAACTGTTTCAATAAGTTCACAACCTTCAATTTATGTTCAAGTACCTGAACCATTAATTAGACGTTCTTTAGCATTTATTCCACCAAAAGATGAAACTTGTCCAATTGAAGGATTTTTATTTTTGGATAAACAGGTTTTGTTAATTTTTATGATTTTTTAAAGAAAAATTTTTGCTGAAGAGTAATGAATTAACAATGCTTTCAAATGAAGAAGCAGCAAAACATTTGGGTGTTGAATTACATTCAATTTGTTTAAGTGAAATATTTTGTGTTTCTGAACCAAAAATTAATTGGGAAGAACTTGCTGAAAGATTAAAATTAAATATTGATCCGGAACTTCAAATTAAACCGGTAAAAATTATTTTTTGATAATTTAGAATTAATTTAAGAAATAATTTGGACAGTGGGGTTTGAACTTTTTACCTATACTCTTTGAAGTTTCCATAGTTCAAACATTTTTTCAAACATTTTCCAACATTTTCATTTCCAAGTTTCCCGTAGTGATCGAGCTGGGTCTGGACCACGGCATGAATTTTTCCTGTGCCCAAGTCCAGGCCCAGGCATGCCTTCCTGGGTTTTTCCTGGGCCTCGGTTTTTCTTGGACTACAAGTCCAAGATCCGGCCCAGGTCAATAAATCAAATCCAGGAACAGGCCCAGGCTTTTCAAAAATCTCAATCACTATTTCCCACTACACCAAGAAATAACAAGTTGAAAAATTTAAGAAATGATTATTTATTTTAATAATTTTATTGAGATCCAATTTATTTTTAAAGGATGGCATTGAACTTTTCGATTCAGAATTAATATTAGCTAAAGTACCAGAACATCTAAATCGTATAGAAATTATTTGGGATGAATGCAGAGAACATTTGTTAGACAGAATTTTATATCTAATTCCTGCAAAGAAAATGGATTTTTAAATTGTTGATGGTTTTTTGGGTGATTTTTGTGATCTCTTTTGGGTGATTGTTATGTTTAATTTTTCCAAGTTTATTTTTAAATTATTTCATGTTTCTCCTTTTTTGAGACTAAAAGGATTATAATTTTTTAATTTTTATTTTCTAAAGTTTTTTGCTTTAACAATTAGGGTTGTTCCCCGCCCCTCACCTCGTAAAATTATAAAAAAATTTCCCCGTCCCCGCCCCTCCCCCATGGCAATGCCTCCCCGAAAATTGTTCCTCGTGGCCCTCTCCTCGTCGGGGAACAACCCTATTAGCAATATTTATTTTTATATTTTCTCAAAGTCTGTCTTTAAATTGTTTTTATTAAATATTTCTAGCTTATTAATTATGGCTTCTACTGTCTCCAACAACAAAAGGTTAAATTCTTTTTATTCTAATACCAATAAAATAAAATTTTCATTTTTTAAGCAAACTCGAGCTGTCGGTACATCAAGTTGAGCCGGCAATTGTTGTTAGACATATTGATGAAAGAGTGAATGACAATAATTCTAATCAGTTAAAAATGTTTGTTTCTTTAGAAAATTTAAATAAAATTAATTTTTAGAATTCAACTAAAAGGTCTTAGCGAACGGTCAAATCCTAATTTAGTTGCTCGTTTTGTTATAGACCAATGCCAACCTTTAATTCCTATCGACAAACTTTCCGAATTGGAACAATTAATTTCTTCGATTATTTGGAGGGGACGTTCTTCCGAAATTAAAGGTTTTTGTTTATTTTTTTTGATTTTTTAATTAAATATTTTTTAGTCTCTTCATGTGGGTCAGCAGATATTGAAAAATTAGATGTAAGTAAATACAGGTTGAATTTTGTTTTTATGGACATTATTTTTGGTTTAGAAATTTGTGGATGTAAGAACAAGTCCAAGTTATTCTTACACCCTCACCTTTACCAACAAACTTTTAGAAAGTTTACCTATAGGGCTTGTTGTTAGTGTTAGGGTTGCCAGGTCAGCCCCCTCTCCATGAAATTGACTCCCTGGCTACGTCTAGGTTTTAAGAACAAGTCCAAGTTGTTCTTAAACCCTCACTCTTGTGGCCAACAAATTTTTAGAAAATTTACCGTAAATTAATAGAGTTTTGTTGTTATTTTTGATTTGTGTAATATCTAAGTCTGTGTTCGTTTCGAGAATTAATTTATCCTTCTATCCCTTTTATCTCGCCATTTTTCAATTGTTTGTTCGAAATTTTTTTATTTCATTTTTAGGATTATTTAGAATTACTTTATGATGAAGGAGAATCTAAAAATCAAGGAATTTCTCTTCTTTTACAATTAGTTTGTGAAACTTCTCCTTCAAATTTACCCAAAATTGTTGAGAACGAACCATTAATGGGCGCTTTAGTTCGTGTAATGAAAGAGGTTTTGGAATTTTTTAAAGGATTTTATTTTTTTTTAATTAAAGGATGCTAGACGTAATTTTGATTTGGCAATTCAAGTTGGTCAACTTTTCCATCGGCTTTCTCAATTTTCTCCATTTTTGCCAATTCTTTCTCGTTGGAAGGTTTTGTTTGATATTTTGGATTTTTTTTATTTTTAAATTTTTATATGGATCGTGAGAGAAGACGTAGGACTTAAATTGGGGATTAGGGTTGTCGGTTCTGGATCGAACCGAAGAACCGAGGATTTTTCGGTTCGGATATCGGTTCGGTTCCGGATATTCTAAGACTTCCCAAGAATCGAAAACCTTATTGGGGATGGATTGGGTCGAGAAAAAAGCGTGGGCCTCTTTGGATCTGGATTTCGGGTAACCCAGCCTACCCCTGTCTCAAATAAGACAAAAAATGTCTTGAATCGAAATCTATCTTGTAACTTTTCGACATTAAAATTGTTTAAAATATTTTTTAATTTGAATAAAAATTCAGATTGGTCTTCTCTCTTTACAATTAGTTGAACAAGAATTACGACGTTCCGAAGTTTGGCGTCAAAAAGTAAAAGAATTGAGTGATCTAAATTCACGTCGAAATTGGGAATCTGCTTTGATTAAACAAGATTTGTTAATTACAGGTTTTTTTTAATTTTTTTGAAATTTTTTAAAAATTCTTTTCAAAGTTTGCCTCCAAATTTTGCTAAATATGTCGGAAGATTTACGCATAGAAAATAAAATGCAACGTAAAGGTTTATTAAATTTACTTTTTAATGCTTTGGAACATTCGTCCTCTTCACAACTTGTATTTATTGTAATTAATTTTTTGTGGAAGTTGAGTCAATTTGTGGAAAATCAAAAGAATATTGTGGTAATTAATTTTTTAATTAAATAGAAAATGACATAAATGTTGATAAAATTTATTTTGATCAATTCGTCTTGGTGGTTAAGTGGGTTTGTGTTAACTTTATATTTTGCTTTAAAGAGGTTCGATTCCTTTTAAGTTTCTTTGGCTGTGCAATGATGAAATTATTAAATCTGTCAATCCTCTGATAATTTTGTTAAAATTTATGAGAGAGACTGAACCGGATCTGAGCACTTAAATAAAAATCTTTCTTTTTTTATTATTATTTTAAAAACTAGGACAAATTATTCTCATTAATTTTCCTTGGGTTTTCCAAAGGCTTTTTTGGAAAGTTTTTTGATTTAATTTCAATGTGCAGACATTTTTGGGGTTATTTTCAATATTCCTATCTTCGGTTAAGGTTATTAATTATTTTCTTACGACATTGAAAAAAATATTTTACAAATTTGTTTACCTCAATTTTATTTTTAAAAATAATTTAGAATAATTCTGGAGCAGTAATTGAACGTTTAATTTCCTTTATACCCCCAACAACAACTTCTAACAATCGCCCTTCATCTTCTAAAGAAAATGAAACTGAAATTCTTTTTCCACTTTTTTCTTTACTTTTTAATTGTTCTTTTGAATTGACTAGTCGAAGAAGGATGGTACAATGTGGATTAGTTTCTTTATTGGCTCCTTATATTTGTGGTTAGTTTTTTTGATTGGAAGGTGTTTTTAATTAAAATTTTTTTTAAGATTTTAATATTGCTTTGGCTTTAATGTATCAATTAAGTATGGAAGAAGATGCAAAAGCTATGATTGCATTTACTGATTGTATTTCTATTGTAAGGATTTTCTTTTTTAAGTTTTCTATTAGAGAGTTGGGTTCGGAAGCTGAACCGAGAAGATTTTTTGATTCAGGTCTTCGGTTCTGGATATCTCAAGATTATTCATACTGATAACTTATTTTCACCTATTTATTCTCATTTTTATTTTTTGTTTTTTTATACATCCTTAATTATGTTATAAATTAAGGAAAAATTTTTCTCAAAATCCAGTAAAAATTTTTGATTTATTTATAATAATTGGATAAAAATAGTCGAGTTCTAACATAAATATTTTTTATTTTTTTAGTTATCAAATTTATTATTTAATCAAAACAACAACAACAAACAAATTAATTTAAAAAATAAACGAATTCAATTAATTAAATGTTTGTTAATAAATATTGTTTTAGAAAAAAGAAATGCTCAATTAATTTGTGGAACAAATGGGCAAGGTTTGGATGCTTTGATCTCTTTAATTTTTGAAATTGAAAAGTGTGAGGATACATTGACTATTAAGGTTGGTCTATTTATTTTTTTTAAGAATTTATTTTTTAATGAATTTTATTTTATTTTTTTTAATAAGAAAATTCTCCCTGGTACCCGAAACCAAGACTTTTTCCAACCCGAAATCCGACGGGAAATTTATTGGAATTTTTCGAGAACCCGGCATTTTCTATTGAAATTTTTTCCAGATCCTTGACCTTCTACAATTTTCTTGGCCCCCTGTGTCCTTTTAAATTTTGTTAAATCTTTAAATAATAAAAGTCTAAATAATTAAAAAAATATAAAACAATTCTATTTAAAGATAGCCCGTAATATAGCTACACATGAAGGTCCAACACGTGAAATGTTTGGTAAATGGATGCCTAAAATTGTTGAAAATTTTATTACAAAGGTTTTTTCTTTTAAATTTTTTATAATTTTGCTCATTCGTTTGTATTGATTTAAAACGCCTGGCACAAACTGTCATGAGTAGGGTTGTCGTTTCTGGACCGAACTGATGATTTTTTTCCAGGAACCGACAACCTAGTCATAAGGTTTTTAGGGTCGATTTCCTACTAGGACCAAACTTCTTATTTTTATTAAAATTTTTTTAAATTTTTTCCAGTTAACAACAACAACAGAAAATTCTTTTCAAAATTATATTTTTGCTCTAGAATGTTTAGGAATTTGTGTATTAATTCCAGAAGTTGATTGGCTCGAATTGGATCAAAATTTTGAAATTTTAAATTTTTTGAAGAATTTATTTGAAAAGATCTTTGCTGGAGAATTAAATAAATTTGGGGTAATTAATGATGATTTGGTTTTACAGGTTTTTTTTTTGAAAATTAAAAAATTAAAAGAAATTTTTTAAAATTAAAAAGGCAGTAATGTTTTGTGGTACTTTGGCTTCTCATAATTTACAAATGGCTGAAAAGGTGGAAAGTGAACTGTTACCTTTTGTTGTCAAAATAATTAAAAGTTTGTTTTTATTTTTAAATTTGATTTAAAAAAAAATTTTTTTTAATCTGTGTCTTATTCAAACATTTTTTAAATTAAATATTGAAGCTTGATTTCTTTTGTACGCCAGGAATTGAAACCTAAACTTTTTTCTTTATCGGATCCAACTTTTTTTTCAACCCGTTCCACCCCTGTTTGGTTCCTGTGGAACAGTTTTTCTGTTTTGGTACACTTATTTTCGTTCAGTGATTTGGAAAATCCGGAGCCACAAAAGTTATTTGGTTTCTAATTAATTCTTAGATTTGGATAGGAATTTTCTAGCACTTTAAAATTCACGCACGGAATATAATAAAAATTTTAAAATTTTTTATTACAAATTAAAAATTATTTTTTAGCCCGCCAAGAGGACGATGAAATTATTTTACAATCAATTTTTGCAATTATTTGTTTACTTTCTTATGGAGGGAATTTGGCTAAACGTTTATGTATTGAAGAAAATGAAGAATCAATTATTGGAATTCTGCTAAGTTTTTTGCACAACAAAAATCCAAAAATTTGTCAACTTTGTGATAAAGCACTTGAAAAGGCTGCCGTAAGTTTTTTTTTGGAAAAGAATTTTTTTGGAATTTTTTTTGGAATTCAAAACTTTATTTTAATTAGTAAGAAGACATTTGCGGATAAAAAATTTTTTGTCCGCAAATATTTGCGGACACCCCCTCACACATAAAATTTTTGTCCGCAAATCCAAAAAATTTGCCAAATATTTGCGGATAAAATTTGCGGACACCCACTCTTAAAATTTTTGTCCGCAAATCCAAAAAGTCCGCAAATATCTAAAGGTTTTTAACAAAATATTACTTCAAAATTTTTTTTCAGGAAATTAGTAATTACTGGAGAAAACGAATTAGCGAAGAAAAATTTTGTTGGCACAATTCTCAATGGTTAGAAATGGTTAAACAAACAACAACAAACGAACAATTAAATAATTCAGAATATGATAAACTTTTTGAAGATGAATATATATTGCCCTCTGGATTGGTATTGAATTCTGAGGAACTTCTTAAGGATTCTGAATTTCTTAATAGTGTAGTTACCCCAATTCAGAGAAGATAAAGTGATTTGTAAGAGACTAATTGTGATAAATATTGATAGCTTTAATAAAATTTTCTATCTCCGATTTAAAATTTCTTCTGTTTTTTGCATAATGTAGAAAAAAAGCAAATGATTTTTTGGCAGTTTAGTTCAAACAAATAGTTTAATTAATTTAATTTAAAATTTTTCGCTACTTTTGGCATAATGCAAATATTTAAATATAAATGACATTTCGTCCCGCCAAGTATAATTGCTCATTTGAGTACAGAGGCTGAGGAGAAAATAGATTTTATAAATATCCATTTTAAAATTTATTCTCATAGTCGAACATACCAAATTATAAGCTAAACCAGGGTCTCCAAAAAAGATTAGAAAATCCTTCAAACAAAATAAATTACGTATTATAAAAACTAAAATAATTGGCCCGGAAAATAAAATTTTTTTAGTTTTATATGACTAGAAATTAAATCATTTTCTAAAATTTAATAAATAAGCCCCTTTTCAAAGACTAATTTAATTCTCAAAATATAAGGTGGAAGAAAAACATTCTCCTCCAATTAAGAGCCAATTATTTAATTTAATAAATTATCACAAATATAAGTTGAAGTCATCTTTCCATAATTATTATGCTTTTGTCCCACTCACATTATTATTAATTAATAAATTTAAAATTGGAAATTGTTTAACAAATTCAGTCCCTCCTCTAGCAACCACAGATTGTTTATAAACATCTAATAAACCTTTAAGAAATTGCCATCTTTCCAATTCGGAATGTTTATTGAACCAATTAACATATTCTACTATTGTCCACCCGGCTCTTTAAAAAATAAAAAAATTGTAAAAATTTTCAAAAAAAAATTCCCTTACGATTCATGGGGAGATTTCAACTCCGAATCACTCGCACAAATTAACTCATGCGCAATAAACCATTGTGGAACAGCATATAAATTTAATTGACGCTGAAAAATAAATTTTTTAAAAATTTCTAAAAGTTTAAAAAATTTTCCTGCCTAGAAAAAATTTTTATTTTTCATTTTCCACAACACAAAATGACAGGAAAAATATTTACCCCTGCCGGGACTCGAACCCGGATCGTCGGTTGACTACTCACAAAATAGGAGACCGACGCCTTCTCCATTAGGCCACAAGGGCAATTGAAAAGAAAAACAATTTTACTCTTAAATAGTCTTAAATAAAAATAAATAAATTATTTTAACCGTTAAAGCCACTGTTTGTTTCTGTTCTTCTTCCATAACATTAAAAATTTCTTCAAATTTATTAGGCATTAACTGAATAAAATTTATTATTTGATTTGATGAATTTAACATTTTGGAATATTTACAGTCAAAAATCTGAAACAAAAAAAATTTTTTTGAAAATTTTTCTGAAAATTTTAAAGCCAAACCTGCAATCCATTTTTACATAAATAATCAAAATCTTTAACAAATCTTTTTAAAATAGCGTCTTTTTGTGGCCGTATAAGAGAAATATGCAGCAAATATTGTTCTATACAAAAATTTATAAAAGAGGGTAATACATCAAATGATTCATTTAAAGGTTTTAATTGAATACAATGCTGACGGAAAATTCTGGAAAATTTTTTTTAAATTAATTTTTAAGAAATCCGCAAGGTTTTCCGGAAATTAGGCTCTTTTCCTTAAAGTCCGCAAGTTTTATCTGGAAATTATTTTTTATTGAGAAAAGGATCCTAAGTTAATCAAAAAACCCTAGAATGAATTTCTAGAGAAGAAACCCTCAATTTTTAAACAAAAAATTATGTCTAGCTAGTAATTTTAGACTATCCTTATCTCAGAAAAGTACATGTGGTAATAAATATTTTTTAAAATTGAAATAAAAATTAAAAAAACCTTAAATGACCACAAAGTTCTTTAATATAATCAGAAGAACTGGCTGAAGCATTAGACATATCTTCTTCATGCATTGACGCCAAAACTAAAGAAACTAGTCCACGCATTGCATCTACCTTAAATTTTAGAAAAATAGAAAAAATTTTTTATTAAAAAAGTTTAAAAATGTGTGGACCAGGAATGGGCTTTTAATATTTAAAAAAGCAGCAGCCGAAGTGTGGAGGCAGAAGGGCAAAAAAAGGTAGAATTCTGCATAAACGAAAGAAGTTTTTGAGGTATTTTTTTCCAATTTTAAGTTAACAGTTAATTAATATTTTTGATTTTTCTAGGTACCCGAGGCTTAAAAATATCCAAAAAAAATAAAAAAAAATTAAAAAATAAAAGTGATGATCCACAACTTGCTAACTCTACATAAATTATTCGTATTCCTAAACAAAAAAAAATTAAAATTTTTTACAATAGTTTCCAACGCGGGTTTCAATAAAGCATTAAAAGGAGTACACAAATTAGGCCAATATCTTTAAAAATAAAATTAAAATAATTTCAAAAAAATCAAAAACAAACTTAGTCATTTCATATCCAATATTTAAAATTAAATAATTTTGAAGTTGTGTTTTAGAAACTCTTCCAATAAACCTCAATTCTTCTTCCTCTCCAAATTTTAAATTATTTTCTAATTTTACTGCTAAATATTTTAATGCTTTTCCAATATTTATTTCCATTTCACGTTGCAAATCTTTATCCCAATTGACACTTGACAATTCTGCACGCAATACTGCATTTAACTTTAAAAAATTAATTTTAAGATTAGGAAAAAATAAAATTTTCTTTTAAGGATTAGTCTAACTAAAGTTATTCTATTGACTTGAATACTCTGGAAAAGCTGAATTCACTGAATATTTATATCTCTTAAGAACCCCATATTCCAAGGATGTAGCCAGGGAGTCGATTTCGGGGAGGGGGGCTCTTCTCCCGTCCAGCTTTGAATGGCCATAACTCGGCTTACAAATAGTCATTTTCTACGAGAACCGGTCAACATTTCGAAATGGAGAAATATCCCATTCAACCTGAAAAAGATGGTTCCTTGTTAGGAACAACTTTTACTTATGATTAAAACAATACACAACTTTAAATTAAATATTTATTTACCATTAGAAACAAAGAAATAGGAAAAGATCCATTTTTTGGATTTCTTAAATCTTAATCCAATAAACACAAACCTTTTCAACAATTATAGCCTCTCTTTTTTCATCTTGTTCCAAAATTTCATCAATTGCAGCAAACAAATTAGCAAGTGATTGACTGTGAATACTTGTCTTTAATGGATGTAATGCATCTCTTAAATTGATTTTTTTTTATTTTTTTTTTAAATTTTTCAAAAATTTCTTTTAAACAAAAAACCTAATAACATTAGCGACAGAATCTGAATGTGATCCCAAAGATTTATAAATTGTTTGAACTAAACGCATTGCATATGGAGCATTTGCTGGGACCTTAAAAATAAAAATGTTTTAGTCTCTTTTCTAGATTTAAATTAAAAATATTTTTAGAGATAGATTATTGCTTTAAATTTTGGAAAAAATCCATATCTGGTATAGATCCAGTTCTGGACTAAAAATAAATCTTATTTGGATTAAATTCAGTTTCAACTAGGATCGACTAGTTGAACACCACATCCTTGCTTTCTCTGTTTTTACATCAAACAGAAAACGCTGAAAATTAAACAAAGTCAACAAATACATTAAGTAAAAATTAAAAAAAAAGTACTCTGTTAGCAATCACTTTTCCAACAAGTCTAGCAAAATGTTGAGCATTATCAGTGCCTAAATAAATTATTTAAAAAATTCTAGAAATTTCAATAAAAACCTAGAAGTTGAAATTGCTCCATTTGACTGTGCAGTTTTGTTCCCAATTGAGGCAAAAATTTGCTAGCCTTTTCAGTATTAGATTGTGTACCTAACTGCAAGAAAAGTCCATCAAGTTCACGAAGTGATTCGTCCATTAGTGAAGAAAGTTCTTTTTGATAAACTGTTGAATTGTCTTAAAAAAAATTTTTTTTAAGTTTAAAAAAAGTAAAATCATTTGAGATAGGATGCTTAAGACGAATTACCTACAAGATAAGGTTGTTCACGACCGGTTAATTTTCACATGTGTCGGCTCAAATGAGGGAATTTTAACATTAAGGACATTTGAGCCGCACATGCGAAGATTAATCGGGAGTGAAAAACCCTATTATAAATTAAAAAATCTAGATTTAAAAAAATATTTGGGTTTTGGACCAAGATTAGTCGAATCCTTAGTAAGGAATAAATAGGGGACTGTTCAAGAAAAAAATTTCTAGTCAACAATTGTCCCTTGTCAATAAATTTTTTTAATAAAAATTCAAAAAACCTATCAATTTTTGCATTGCTTTCATTGTAGAATTAACAACACCAGCATTAAGTGACCGTAAAGAAGATCGAAGTTGTTCAAACAATTCTTGACGTATTTTTGAAACAATTAATTCTCTTTTGAATAGACAGCTTTCATGAAGCCATTTTAACTTTAAAAAAAATTTTTTTAATTAAAAAAGCTCCAAAAATATTATTAAAATACCTTTAAAAGTTTATCATTTGATTTTATTAGTGAGACAAATTCAGTTGCATATTCAGCCTTTTTTAACAAATCTTTTTCTTCTTTGCATAAATTTACCAATTCTTGACATCTTAAAATGAAATATAATTTTAAAAAATTTCAAAAAAACCTCAAAGCATCACCCAAAAGACGCGACATTTTTGTTAAATTGGAAATTGCGTGAACACTTGAACGGACATTATCCAACTTAAATTTAAAAATAAAATCTTTAAGAAAAGACCCCCGAAATTGGGAAAACCCTCCAAAAACCACAAAAACTCCCTCAAAAATCTATAAAGACAACCTTGTTTTGCACTTCATTTGCTATTTGATCAAATTTTTTAGTTACAGAATCCATTTCATGTTGGAAATGGGTGTGGGCACTGTCCAAATGTTCAATTGCAGAAACTTGTTCCAGTAAACGAGGATAATTCTCTTCTACCTAAAAATTAAAAAGAAGTTAATTTGGAAAGTCAATATGTAAAGACAGCATTTTAATAAATTCAGGCAGGGTTAAAGATCTATAAATAAAGTCGTTGCCCTATTTTTTCATTGCCCCCTCCCTCCCAAAAAAACCAGTCGGAGGAGCAACCAAATGCGGTCAAAGAAGGTTCTAGCAATAACTTGAAAAAGGTCGCACTGTTCGATTACGACCCGGTAGTTTCTTTTTATGTTAGCTCCTACTAGACTGGACCAGCCCCTTCCCAAAATCAACCCACAAAGGTTCAACTAAAGAAAATACCCACACACACCAGTAAACCAACATTCTCAAAAAAACCTCAAAAAATCTTTAAAAAAATTAAACCGTACTCCTTGTCTAAGACGTGTATTCAAATCTCCTTGAATCATTTGAACTTTAGCCAAAATTCTTTCAGTTTCTGAACGTTCATTGGACGAAACAATTCTTTTTAAAAATTCAGTTTCACCTTCTTCACCCAATTGACCGGCAATAAATTGTTCAATTTTTTCTTGTGTAATATCCAACGGCATTCTTACAATTACCTAATCTACTAGAAAAATGAATTAACGACAAAATAAAATTAAAAAGTATGACGCCGTAAATGCCAACACGCCAAAATACGAAAAAATCTTCAGCTTAATATCAAAGGTTCCAGAGAGTCTTATGTCGGCGCTTTTGGCATTACGGCGCGTCAAGGTGATAAATAACCGATTTAATTAATTGCCCAAGAAAATCTTTTATAATTTATGGGAAATTTTCAAAAAACAAAAAAACCTATTTTAATTTATTTTCTTTTTTTATTTTCATCTAAAGGCTTCAAATCTTTGAGGAATCCTTCAGCATCAAAACGATTCCAAGTATCAAGAAATTGCTGTTCATAAAGTTCTACAACAACTCCGTGTCCTAAAACGCGTCTTCTTGACTCTCGTAAGGTAATTTTAGATCCTTTTCCTTAAAAAAAATTTTTTTTATTAAAAAAATTTTTTTTTGAAATTTCAAAAAAAATTTCAAAAAATCCCAAAAAAATTTCCAAAAATTTCAAAAAAAAACTCACTTATCGGCACTTCTCTAAGAAAAACTAAATAGCCATTTGTAACTTCTCCAGGCATTAAAAGTTCATTATCAAAAAATATTCTACATCCTTTATCCCATGTTGTGCAAAAAGTAAGGACTGTGTGGCCAGAACGGATGCCTTGTTTCCGACCATTTTCGTTTTCATTTAGCATGTAAAGTTTAATCTATAAATCAAAAAAAATTTATTTTTAAGGGGAAACAAATTAATATGAAGTTTTTCAACAAAAAATCTGCCCCATCCTATAACACCAAACCCAAAAAAGGTCACGAAAATACCAAACTTCTGGGAAATATTTTCCAACAACGGGAAATGCTCTTCTTGGAAAAAATGTTTTTCCTTTTGTTGGAACAACTGTTTGGCATTTCATGGGCTTTGAGGGGTTGGCATTATAATGTTTTTTCCAAATTTGGTAGAACGACGCGTTCCAAAAATTTTTTCGAAAAAGATTGTCTACCATTCATGTATCAAAAATCAAAACAAACGTGTAAACAAATCATAAAAACATCAAAAAAACCTTCTTACCTTAACAATATTTGTCGTTTGCACAGTCCCAGGAGCGCCTAACCACATTCCTTTATGAACACCATCAAAAATTAAATTTCTACATAAAATTCCACATTGTTCTCCAGCCCGTACCTTAAAACAATTTTAAACAAAAATTAAAAAAAACAAACTTGATTAACAGTTTTCTTAAATACTTGAATTTCGCCAGCCGTTACTTTTTGGAAATGTTCAAACCCTCTAATTTCGATATGTTCGCCTTTTTTAAGCTGCCCTCTTTCAACTGTTCCAATCAAAACGGAATCTTTACTGTTTGGAATTTTTATTTTGTTGGCTATTGGCATTAGAAACGAGCCTTCCTGGAAATTAAAAATAATTTATATAAAAAAATCAGGGGGAAAAATGAAGAAACTAGCAAATTTTTGGAAAATTAATTTTGCGGACAATTTTTGCGGACCTATAGGTAAAATTCTAGACTGCTCATTGTCAGTTGAAAATTTGAAATAGATGACCTTTTATTATCCAATTTTTCGAAAAAACGTGATCCTTGAATATATGGAAAAGTCCTCAAAAATAAGTCAGCAAAATTGTCTTTTTTCCTTAAATTAAAAATGTTTAACCTCCGTACGATTTGGCGCTTTTAAAGAATCCAAAGCTTTTAATAATTCATCAATACAATTGTGATCTTCTCCTTGTAAAGCCTGTAGAGCAGAGCCATAAATTACTTTGGTAGTCTCACCTTTTAAATTTTAATTAAAATTGATTTTATAAATTAAATAACCATTAAAAGAGTAGTCATTCAAAAGTTCACGTGCTTCCATCTGCAAAATATTTTTAAAAAATTTTATCGGAAATTTTTCGAGAAAATTTTTTTTGAAGGCTAGTGCTGCTCAAAAATGTTACAAGATAAACAGATATAAAATTAGATAAAATGAACCTCTCTAGACCTACTTGGCTAAAAATCATTTGGGGCATGACTAGGATTGTTAGTTTTCGCAAATTCCTCGGTTGACCAAAACCAAACCGAAAATCTTCAGTCTTTCGGCTCGGTTTGAACCCGGTGAACCCATCGTCCACTTCCACAATTTTATAAAAAAATTTATATTTACAAAAAAACCTCGACTAATTCCAAATCATCTTTATCAACAAGATCTGCCTTATTAATAAAAACAATAACTTCTTCCAACCCAATTTGTTTAGCTAACATTAAATGCTCTTTTGTTTGAGGCATAACTCCATCTGTTGCAGCTATAACTAAAATTGCAGCGTCCATTTGCGATGCACCCGTTATCATATTTTTGCTTAAAAATAAAATAATATTAAATTAATTATCATCTAAAAAAATTTTTTAAAAGCCATAAAACAAAAATAAAAGCAAAAAAAGTCGAAAGAAAAACGTTTCCTTCAAGGGGACTCGAACCTCCCCCATTGCCCAAGAAATCCAAAACGCTAACCATTACACCAACAACACAACAAAAAAATTGAAATAATTAGTCTAATATACACCCAAAAATCAAACAAAACGTACATATAATCACTATGGCCAGGACAATCAATATGTGCATAATGCCTTTCTTTAGTTTCTAAAAAACTTTTTGCTAAATTCAGGAATAAAAATAACCATATTCTAAATTTGCAATGTTAATAGTAATTCCACGAGCGCGTTCTTGAGGGGCTCTGTCAATGTCGTCATAACTGAAAAAATTTGTAAAGTAAAAAAGGGGAAAGGGAAACCTGATAAATTTTGCCATTTTATTTTTTGAAAGGTCTAAAAAAATAAATTGTTATAAAAAGATTGCAGAAGACTCCGGAAATTTCTTGAATAGGAAGATGGATTTACCGGTCGTGCAAGGAAAAAGTAGAGGACATATGGTCAGGAAGTGGATAAAATGCGGGGTACTTATGAAGATGGAGGTGCCCTTTCTGCGGACTTTTTTTTGCGGACTTTTCTTCCTTTCCTTTACATATGTATTTTACTTGTAGCAACTAACTGTAGCAACTAATTATTTTTCTTACCTAAGTTTGTACATAAAGGTCAGATTTTCTGCTTCCTTTCCTTCCTCTATTTGCCCTGTGGCATATTCAAACAAGAGACATTGGTGAAGAGAAGATTAATTTCATAGTCATACACTTATTTTTTGCCTTCGAAAACAATTTAAACAAAAAAAGAATTAAATAAAATTGATTTGGTGTATAACATTATGAATTTCTGTGTAAAAACTTTACATTCTTACTTATATTTAAAAATATTGAACAACTGAAAAAATAAATCGTACTCAATATTGAACAACTCAATTAATTTTAATCTTCTCTTTATCAACTATGTCTCTTGTTTGAATATGCCAAGCTCAAATAGAGGAAGGAGAGGAAGAAGAAAATCTGACCATTTTGTACAATCATAGGTAATAAAAATAATGAGGGGGGGTGGGACAAGGATTGAACTTACCCGAATTTCTGTTCCAAAATCACAAGTTCTCATTCTATGAAGCATTCCGAGATCAGTAAGCCATTGTTGAAATTCAGTTTCGGGCAATTTAATTTAATCATGTAATTTAGTTAAAGTAAAATTTTTTATTGATTGTAACATTTTTAGCGTCTATAACGTTTAAATCAGGGCTCTCATCGACAAAATGCCAATCAAAAGTACAAAAATCTTGATTTTAAAGTACATAGGGACAAAATTTTCAAATTTAAAGTACACTCAAAATTAAATTCGAAAATATTTATTCGTCCTCAAATCTTTTATATTTCTCTCCTAAATGAATCTTTTCTAATAATTTATTGCTTCCACTGAGCATTTTGTGCATTTCAATGCATGACATGTCAAAATTCGCTGACACAAGAAGTAAAGCCTGACAGTCTTAACCTCAAGCAAGCTACTTTCTTTCGTCCATTTTCAGCGCCGCAGGCGAAAATTTTGAGAATTTTAGAGCTCAAGAAGCCATATTTCTTCCATTTTTAGCGCCGCAGGCAAAAATTTTTAAAATTTTAGAAGGCCGTAGGCAAAAAAATTCACTTTTTCAGCAGCGCAGGCGAAAATTTTTTGAAATTTGGAGCCCAAGAAGCCAGATTTCTTCCTTTTTCAGCGCCGCAGGCGAAAATTTTGAGAATTTCGAAGGCCATAGGCCAAATAAATTACTTTTTTGCCCAATGTCTTCCCCAATTTCATTTTCAATCCAAAATTTTGATTTTAAAGTACATACTTTCAATAAAGTACAAATTCAATTTTGTAAGTACGGAGGTCGATTTTAAAGTACTGTACTTTCAAATAAAGTACGAATGAGAGCCCTGGTTTAAATTAATTGTGAACACATATTTTTCAAATGGCATACAAAATAATCCTTTGATAGTTAATTGCTACTAGCAAAACTTGCTGAAAGCAAAACAACAAAACATTTAAAAAGAAAGGAAGAAAAGTCCGCAAAAAAAGTCCGCAGAAAGGGCACCTCCATCTTCATAAGTACCAAATGCGGCCAAGGCTTCCACTTTCTTGGGGGTTTTCTAATTTTTCAGACATACTTAGGAATGCGCCTAATTCCCTACTTAATGTTAGGAATGCCCCTAATGGTTAAAAAAAATTTAGAAAAAAGAAAAGAAAAAGAAACAAACATTTTGTAATTGCAGAAGATAAAGTAGTCTTTCCATGATCAACATGCCCAATTGTTCCAACATTTAAATGAAGTTTGGATGGCTTTTCTTGGGTAGTTGCTAAATTATTTTGTCAAATTTCAGCAAATTTTAAGCAAAAATAAACCTTTTATGTTTCTAGCTATTGAATAAAAATACTCTAAAAATTTGAATTTTTAAATTAAAATTAAAAGAAAAAAAACTTGATGAATAATTAAGAGTTTTGGAGAATAAAGTAATTCTTGTCATGTTGCTGATAAATTTGAAGATAAAATAAAACAAAACTTCTAAAGTTCTAAAACAAATTAATAAAAATAAATAAAATGTGGCAAACAAAAAAAAAATTTTTAATTTTAGGCAAATTGGCATAATATAAAAATAAAAAAATACATAATCTCAAAAAGTCGAAAATTCGACAAAAGATCACACCGATAAAATACGACATAAGAGAATTATGGGTAAAATGCGACAAAAGGGGATTATGACTAAGATGCGACAAAAGACAACAAGGAGCAAAATCCGACAAAAAACCACTACGAGTAAAACATGACAAAAGATCACTGAGTAAAATGCGACAAAAGAATATAACGCTCAAAACAGGGTAGCACTCATACATATTATAATAGAAAATAAAAAGTATGAAATAAATTAAAATTTTCAAAACCGAGATATTCCAAAAAAAAGTTTTTATGAATACATATTCTATCAAAAATTTTTTTTTAATTTATTCAACAAATTGTGCACTAGTTTTTATTTAAAATTAATTTAGTATTAATTTAATCATTAATTTTCTACACTAAATTATCTTATTTATTTATCTCTAAAAATTTTTTTTTCAAATTAGTTAGGTTAATATAAATATTTTTTTGCATTTAAAATTTAATGCCAACTCATCGTTATAAATTTTGTTGAAAATTATTAGTAAAATTTTATTATTTAATTTTTAAAGCTGTGTAGATGGTTATCATTTAAAAATTAAAAATTGAAGTTAATTAGGGGTGGTTGAAATTTTATTTAGCTTTGAGACAAATTAAAAGTTAAAAATAAAATAACGAAAGCAAAAGCACAACAATTTAATTTTTAATTTCTGTTCACGACCGTTCAAGAGTGTCAAAGATTGGAAGGGGGTTCCCGAGAGGGCATGTCAAAGTTCAGGGTTGGGGTACTACATTATATTTTGATGAAACTATTCGAAAAATTATTAGATTAGTTCTTTTAGAAGATACATACATTAAAAAATTGGAGTATTCTAACGGATCAACGAGCAAGTAAAATTAAAGTGAATACTGTAATCTCTTTTTTCATTTAAAAATTTAACGCGTTAAAAAATTAAAAAAATTTTTTTATTTAAATTTAAAATTTTTATTTTTTAATTTTTATTTTTAAAAAATTTTGTAAAAATATTTTAAAGGATCAACGAGCAAATTTAAAAATTTATTTTATTTTTTATTTAATTTAAAAAAATTATTCAAAAAATTAAAAATTATTAATTCACCTCAAGCCTTTTTAAAATAAATAATTTTAAATAAAATAAAATCTTAAAAAATATTTTAAAAAATGAATAAGTTTAAAAAAATTAAAAATTAAACGTTCACTTGGATGAACAGCATATAAATAAGCATTTGAGCTTTTTAAAAAAATATATTCTTCAAAATCATTTTTTTGAGACGGCCTTAAATGTTTTTTTAATTCTTAAAAATCTTCCATTAAAAATTTTTTATTTAAAATTTTATTTAAAAATTTTTTTTAAATTTTAATTTTTTTCATAATTTCATTTTGATTTTAAAAATTTTGGATAATGACGTGTTTAAATTTACAAAATACTCTTCTACTTCTAATTTCCTATTAGACTTAATATTAGTAAATTTTATTAAAATCTGACATTTATCCATTTATCTCTATCTACACAATTCTTTTTTTTAATTTAAAGACTAGATTTTCAAAATATTTTTTTCACTTTTCAAATTTCTCTAATATTTTTAAATTTAATTTTTTAATTTAAGTCATTTTGATTTTGAGAAAATTTAAACCCAAGATTTTTTTCTAAAAAACAAAATTTCTGAGAGCTTAATATTCACCTTAAAAACACTTAATTTAAAAAATACACTCTGTCCCAAAATTATACATCCACCTATATTTTTGGCATAAGTCCGTAATTTGTTAACGGATTTGAATGAAAATTTAACAGATAATGCAGAAAGACATTTTGAAAGTATATATAAAATTTGAAAAAATTCTAATTATGCACTCAATATTTACAACAATTTATTTGTAAAATAGGTGTCCCATAAATATACATCCACCTTCCAAAAAAGTTATTTCCGATTAAAGGAAAATTCTACAAAAATTCCAGTAAACTTATACATTGATATTATAAAAAAGTAAAAAGAAAGTAGGTCAATATCTTAACCCGAAGCCGAGATCCTGAGACCTCGAAAATCAACGTAAAACAGGGGTTTTCAAAATCAAAAAATATTTTCGACCCCTTATGGATTACTGTAAATTTTGATTTTGGGTTCATTCGAAAGCCCTTGAAATTTGCTACAAAATAGCAACAAGCTTATTTTCCAGAAAAATTTTTATCGAGAGAAGCAGGCATTTAAACTTTTTATGCAGAAAAAAGCGCCTAAATGCCCCATAAAATTAGCGTCGGGAAATTAACGACCTACATCTGTCTATCAAATTTTTTCTCAAATACTAGATCAAATTTATTTTATAGTAAATTTTAAGGGCTTTCGAATGAGCCTAAAATGAGAATTTAAAAACAACCATAAGAGGTCGAAAATATTTTTTGATTTTGAAAACCCCTGTTTTACGTTGATTTTCGAGGTCTCAGGATCTCGGCTTCGGGTTAAGATATTGACCTACTTTCTTTTTACTTTTTTATAATATCAATGTATAAGTTTACTGGAATTTTTGTAGAATTTTCCTTTAATCGTAAATAACTTTTTTGGAAGGTGGATGTATATTTATGGGACACCTATTTTACAAATAAATTGTTGTAAATATTGAGTGCATAATTAGAATTTTTTCAAATTTTATATATACTTTCAAAATGTCTTTCTGCATTATCTGTTAAATTTTCATTCAAATCCGTTAACAAATTACGGACTTATGCCAAAAATATAGGTGGATGTATAATTTTGGGACAGAGTGTATTATTTAAATCTAAGCTTCTTTTTCTTAGATTTTCGATTTAGACATCATCCCTACCAGGGGTGGGCGCAAGAGACAATCTAAAAAAACGCAAGACGCAAAACGCAACGCAAGGCCAAAATTTAACGCAAATAACGCAAGACGCAAGACGCAAAACGCAATGCGCCCACCCCTGATCCTTACTGTTATCCTAACCTACCCTTAAGTCTCTTCATTTAAAAATCAGTCTTTTTGATTAAATTTTCGATTTGCCCAAAAAGTCATAATAAAGCCTAAGGGTTCTAAATTCTCAAAAAAATTATCTAAAATTTTAATATTATTTTATTAAAATTATAAAAATAATTAAAAATATTTCCCAATTAAAGTGATTCATTCACATTTTCATTTTTAATTTTTTTTCTAATTAAAAAAATTTTTTTCTAATTAAACTAATTTTTTCTAATTAAAATTACAGCAAATATAAAAAACTATTAACTAATTAATATTCATTATAAACTCTCTTCATTTAAAAAATATCATTTAAATTCTTCCAAAGTAAATTTAAATTTTAATTTTTTATACGAGTGTGTATCAAAGATTTTTCAAAAAAAATTTTTTTGAAAAATTTGAAATTTCTAACCACCCCTACTATTATCCTAACCTACCCTTAAGTTTAACATAACTCAGTTTATTAAAGTCAAATCTCATCAAGTTTGGTATAATTCAAAGCTTCTCGATGAGCGTCGGAGGATATTAGAGGTCGGTAAAATCGCATTCCCGGGATCACTTAACGGGATTGAGTTTAAAAAGTTTGAAGAGGACGGGGTACCCGCGGGATTAAGTCCATAAATCCCTTTATAAAAAGTTCGAAGGGGATGGGGTACCCGCGGGATTAAGTCCATAAATCACAATAATCCCTGTTTATTGTGGAGATCAGAGGATTCTGAGGCGGGATCCCGTAAATCCTGTACGGACTCCAGTTCCTTCCTACCTCTAGATGATACCAAAATTGACGAGATTCGATATTCTTAAAGAGTATAGCCTTATATGGCTTGTGGTATGTTAGGAAATAGAGCGCCCGTTTATACTTTAATTACTGTAAAACTTGTATTACAATGACGTCCTTTCTGTTTTTTTCTGAAATTTTATTTGTGAATTGGGCAAAAAAGAGTGATTTTGAGGATATTCTGTTAGGGCATCTCATTTTAAATACACGTTTTACTGTAATTTATAAATTTTCTTTTTTAATTTTTCACCAAACAATCATCTTCAAATCATCAACAATTTTGTGTTTTTATAAAAAGTAAAGTTGGAAAAGATCTAAAATTTATTTTTAAAATTGAAATAAAAAGTGATTGAATATTTTTAAATTTTTGGAAAAGCTTTGAAGAAAAAAATATTTTTAAACAATTAAAAGAAATACACATTATTAAGCAGTAGTGGGCAAAAATTTTAAAAATAAAGGTTGAAAATAGGTGAAAGAAAGCGAAAAGCGAGATTATCATGCCGTGGTGGTACACCGACTTGTATTTAATGGGAGACTCAGGTTCGATGACCTACGGCAGTAAGCCCTGTTAAACAAGTTGCACGCCCCCGAGTGGGAAGGCAAACAGGCTTTGCTTATGAGTTCCAAAGCAGCAAGATTTTGAGCTACTACTACATACTAACAATCCGGTTCCCGGAACCGGAACCAAAAAACACCGGAACTTCCGGTGAAACTCTAATAAATAGCCTTTTGGTTGATTTAATTTACATCTAAAAATGACAAAAAACTTCCCAAGGAAGAAAATCTTTTGAATTTTCTGACTTATTTTCAAAAGAATATTAGTCTCGCTGATACTCAGAGATGTGGTTCCCGTTCCTAGCGTTTCTTAAAACAGAGAAATCGGCGCTAAATTAAATTTTGTTAATGTTTTAGTCGAGTCGGTAACTCGATTTTTTTAAATAATTAATTAGGAAGCAAGATGGGTATCTTAAGAATGGAGAAAATTTTCAAGAAAAAATTTGTAAAAATATCTTTTCCAACTTTTAACAATCTATACAACGGAAAGGCTAAAATATGTATATACCTGTAAGTTTTTTAACAAATCAAAAATAAATCTAAAAGCGAACCCTTTCTAAGCTAAAAGTTTATGATTAAAGATAGAGGGTTATTTTAAGTGAAAGTTGTCTAGGGGAGTTGTTTTTAGAGAGAGAGAGTTTGGTCGAGACTAATGTGTTCGTCCTTTTAGAAAATAAAAATGACCCTCCCCCCATCTTTGGATTAAATGGTTGGGCTCATTCCGCTGGGCTCATTCCATGATGGTTCTATTCCAACTCCCATCCAATGAATTTTTCCACGGCATGAACATATCGCTCTGACAGCTTCGAGGCAAGTAGTATTAGAGTGATGATTATCCTCTCTTTAATACTTATCCCTCGCTTAAAGTGTCTTGCTTTCCTATTATTAATTACCAATTAAAATTTTGTAAATAAAATTAACGAAAAAATATTTCAAGAAA